AAGTGGCTCCAACGAAGTACCGGCTCAACCAGGCGCGCGCGGCGCGGCACCGGTTTGAAAATACTAGACACTATGTCATATAAAATCTAACTTACATACATTATAACATTTAATACTTTCTTAGATTTACGCGAATATTAGACATTTTAAATAAAACATTATAACATTGTTTAATAATTATTTATAATTAAACGAGTAGATACTGTAGTCGAATACTGCTTTAGTCCTCCCGGACACAAGGCTAAGTCTAACGCGTACGGTGCAACACGCACCGGCAGCACTTATTCTATATACGCATTCAACTAATTTGTTTTATCGTTTACGCACTTTGTAAATATACACATGTATACGAACGATTTATCAATTAATACATCAGTTAACGATGTCATACATTATATAAAATTTAATTTTACTAAATAAATATTTTATCTCCGTTACACTATTTCTCTACGCCTACAATAATTGTCATAATTTTAATACTGTAAAAAATGTGATTATTCATTTGTGGCGATGACATGATAATCTGGCGATTTGATCAAAATGCTCACAGCTCAAATATATGTACCTACATATGTATAGTGGCGGTATTGAGTCTCTATCGATAAATGCTAATATTACACTACTTATAACTACAGCGGGGGGAAGTGTTCGAGGTTCAATTGCACAAAAGTGACTGACGGGAGTCGCGGGAACGGTTGCTAATGGACGGTTTGATAAGACACTGATTCCGATCTCGACATAAGCCCTCGAGAGCGGTGATGAGTGAAGGAGCGAGGCGAGGCGCTCAGCGCGCGTCCGCCTCCTCCGTCTGCGCCTCCGTCTCCGCCGCGGACGGGATGGTGTGCAGCAGGCGCGGCGGCGGCAGCGCGCCCGGCGACAGCGGCGGCTCGTCCGCCACCACCGCCGGCTGCCGCGTGAGCCGAGGCCGCGCGCCGCCCGCCCCCGCGCCGCCCGCCCCGGCGCCGCCCGCCCCCGCGCCGCCTGCCGCCGCGCTGCCGCCCGAGCGCGACGTGCGCCACGTGCCCGTCGACGCCGTGGCGTTCGAGCCGGACGAGTCGTTGCGCGATGACGACAGATTGGAGTCCTGCGACGTCTTGCGCGCCACCAACCACGAGGCGGCGCGGCGCGGCGGCGGCGGCGGCCGCCCGTACGTGCGCCAGGAGTCCGAGCGCGACGACGAGAATTCCACCGAAGAGGACACGGAGCCGGCGCGCGCGGGCGGAGCGGGCGGCTGGCGGGGCGCGGGCGGCGCGGGGGCGGCGGCGCGGCGGCCGCACGCTCGCAGCCAGCGCAGCAGGCGCTCGCCGCCCGCCTCCGTGGGCGGCGCGCCGGCGCCGGGCGCGGCGGCGGCGGGCAGCAGGCGGCGGCACGCGCACGCCGCGCCGTGCTGCCCCCTGGACGAGCGCTCCGCGAGGCTGTTGGTGTTGGCCGGCGTCTGGCGATTGCTAAAGTTTGAAGAGTGCCTACATCGGCCGATGCCCCGCGTGACGCGGGATTCTTCTATGGCCTTGCACACCAGGGCGCAATCTTTTTTGAATTGTTTCGTGAGAATGGCATACAGGAAGGGGTTACAGCATGAATTCAACGGTAAAACGAAAACTGTAAACACTTTCGCCTCCTCGAGAGAGACGAGCTGCGCACCGAAAGCCGCCGTGAGTGCAAAGAAAGCTATCGGCGACCAGCACAGAAAATCTGTGAACACTAGAAGCGCCATTCGCTTCGCAATTCGAGAATCGTTCGAATTCCACGCTTGTGACCCGCGTATAGCACAGTACATTTTAAGGTAGCAGCCGAGCAGCACCAGGAAAGCTAAGCCGTTGATAGCGAGAAGAGTGACGACGTATCCGAGGGCGGCGGGCGAGCCGGTCTCGAAGGGCAGGCAGATAGCGAACTTGCGGTAGTCGGAGACGCCGAGCAGCGGCAGCGTGGCCGCCGCCAGCGAGAAGGCCCAGCCGGCCGCCATGACCGCGGCGGCGTGCCGCAGCGACAGCCGCTTGTTGAGGTGCATGGCGTGCGTGATGGCGTAGTTGCGTTCCAGCGTGATGACGGCCAGCGTGTACACGGACAGCTCGGACGAGAGCACTCCCAGGAAGCCCGCGAGCCGACACCCGCCGGACATTTGCCAAGATATTGCGTGCGCGCGAAATTCACCTAATGTTCCAGCGTCGACGACTGCCAAAAACCCTGTAATGAAATAAAAATATATCTAACTAGAACACGTTTTAGCAAGCAAGTAACTCTTGGCAAAAACATAGTAAATTTGTACCTAGGTAAATTCCCATGAAAAAATCAGCTGCCGCTAGATTCGTGACGAGGAACCGTGGCACGTCTATGCGGCTGCGACTAAACACCAACACAAACACGACTGTCCCGTTGCCCAGCAGCGCCAGCAGGAACACCGCCCACACGCCGCAGCGCAGCGTCCACCAGTCGAACAGGTCCACGCACGGTAGAAATGGACCTAGCGATAAGAGTATAGCACGCTATTATTATAATATGTACTATAAAAGTGATGGTATGATGACATAATATTTAAAATAAGTATCATTGATTAGAATTGTGATATTGTCTTTTATCTACAGTAGGTAAAATATATAAGACTAGATATGAAACGTATATAAATAGAACTATCACCATATTAAAATTAGAAAAAGCTGTGGCTCACCAGGCAAAGGCAAACATCGAACACGACGAACTCCTGAAAACCTAAGTTCAGCCCCTACGTCGCCCCATTCTACTGCCGCGAGTCGCGACCCGCCGTCGCCTGTTGCGTTTACTACACAAAATTGAAAGATTTAAATTGAAAGTGCCAGTTTATAAAAAACTATAAATATCATTTATTTATTTATGTATTATTTTAGGGAAACAAACAGTAAAATAATCTATAAAAATAATTATAAACTAAAAACATTCACACACCAGCAAAGTTTCCACTTATAAATATCTCACAGGTAAAGTAAACATTATTAGTTAATATCATTAGTTTAAACTTTAAAACATAAAATAAAAAAAAAAAACAAATTATAAAATCTAAAAAAAGCAAAATTTAAACTTGAATAGAAAATAATAAAAATAATAATAAAAAAAATATTATGTATTTTTAAGCATAGGCAAATTTCAATATGCATTAAGGTTATGATAAAGATTTTAATGACTGTTTCCTTATACTGTATGTACAATGTACATATATCTTGATAATTAAATAAGTCTATGTTAATAAATTTTTCATTATAATTATTACAAGCTCGTTTATTAACGAATTTTGAGGAGATTTAGTACGTGTTAATTGCGGATCAAAAAACAACTTATTTCGAGAAGATAATCTAGGACATTAATTTGACTCAATTTTAAACAAAATTAATTTGACTCAATAGGTAAGGGGAATCAATAATATTATTGACTAATTTAAACAATAATAACTGTTCTCTCAGTAACCGACGGTTGGCTAATGGTAGATATTTATGCACTAAATGTGTCCGACTGTTGGCTAATGAACAGGACCTATTTAGTTCAAGTATTTAATTGTATTTTGAACCTTCTCAAGGTTTTCACTGTGAACTTTGTGATGAAGATTCCACACTAATGATCCGTACTCAAGTATGGGAAGTACAAATGAGTCATAAAGCTTGATCTTTAAGAGACTTTTACAGTGAAGGAAAGGCACATACAGTAGTGTGGCCAGATGTCGGTGGCGTTGGCCCACGCGGCGAGGTCGACGTGCGCGGGCGGCAGCAGCACCAGGTCGCTGAACTGCTCGCGCTCGGCGTCGTCCGCGCCGCCGCCCGCCGCGCCGCCCTCGGCCGCGCCGCCCGCCATCAGCGGCATGAACTCGCAGCAGTGGTACGCGTATGAGAGCACCAACGTCTGTTAGGAGTCATTCATATCGAATCATTGCTTTGTTAAAGTATTATTAAATATTATAGTTTTATTAAAACCATTGACCATCATTTACATTTTAGTGCCTGGAAGTAGGTTTTTACTTCTTTTGTATTTGACATTTAATGAAATAATTGAGTTTTGTATTTATAAGTTTTACTTAAAGAATTTGTTAAAATATAAAGATTTTCCATATTATTTGTTACGATGTAAAGATATTTGAAATAGAGTCTTTAAATGTAGTTTCTATTGTTTTTACAGGTGAGCTATTATTTTGTTATTGCAATTTTTAAATGTTTTTTTTTTTTAATTCAACAACAACCAACAATATCACATTTAAAAAAAGGGGTTAAAAAATGTCAAGTTTAAAATGACGTTCGTGTCAAATTTACGGATTAACTTGCTACGTTAATCAAAATTAAGTACCTGGGCCACCGAGCTTCGCTCGGAGTTTTCGGACATAAAAATATTAAAAAAACAAACTAAAAATTTGAATGAAAACAAAAAAAAAACAAAAGTAAAAACTTTGTATCCGACCGGGATACGAATCCAAACACCCTGTGGTTGTCAAACTTGCGCATTGGCCGCTTGAACACGATGCTTATGTCCTAGTGTGCGAATTTACGACCATATATTGCGTGGAATAATGCGAAACAAAACCGCATGAAAACTCGAAAAACTTTGGATTCGTTTTTAATCAATTTTTAATATGTTCCAAAGGACTCCTATTTACGAGTGTCCTAAAATTTTCATCCACTTTCAGCTTCGCGCACGGGCCCTCACGAAGGAGATAGTCGAAGGTCTTGGCATCATTTCGTCCATAAAAACATTAAAAAAAAACAAACTAAAAATTTGAATAAATACAAAAAAAAATCCTCCATCGTGGGAATAGAACCTGCAACCATTAGCACAGCAGGCACTAGGCACTCTGTTTAAAATCCAACGCTGCGATTCAATATTCGGACGTTGAGTCTCAACAGTTCTAAAATAAATCCATACGATTGCGTAATTTATACATTCAATGTTCAAAGGTGAATTGAAACTTAATTTTAATTCAATAACGCATGTGCTTGCGCAAATATTCTTAGGATATGGCCGGTTTGTTGATGTGAAGAGCGGAACGCGACCGTACCAATAGTTAATATAGCAGACCTGTATCCTTGGGAAGAGGTCCGGGGGGTGGAAGCGGCGCAACGCGGGGTTGTTGTGCGCCTTGAGGTGCAGAAGCCGCTGTAGCCCGCTCGCCGGCAGCACCGGGAACGCGTTGTTTCCCACGTTTCTAAAACCAGACGATGTCGTCATTATAATTTTTAATTATTTGCAATTACTATAAGTTGTTTTAAAATAAAAGTTGATATTTGAAATAAAGCTGTATTGATATTTAATAGATACATTTCTTTTATCGTACGTAAGTTTTATTAAGAAGCCGCTATTACAATTAATACTTATAAAAAATATAATTTTCTGTGAACGGATGAGACACCGTGGACTGCGTGGCGCCGGACAAAATTTAGGAAATTTGTTCCAGTAGATACGAACACAATATAGTAGAAATGAACTTACAAGTCTTCTAATTTAGAAACGGGGACGAACGCTTCCATGTCAATGTGCTCTATTTGGTTGTCCTCGAGGTCTCTGAAAGCATAGGTACGTATCTAAATGAATACTGATATGTAGGATGATAAAGTTTCTAGGGCGACGTGGCGCTTTGTGTATTGTGATTGTGTTAGTTCATATCGGATAGAGCTCTACATCCGACGCGATGCGGTCGCGCTTACGTTTTTCCACGAATTTATTCGATCAAATCGACGTCTGCTCGAACATATATCGCACACTTAATTGGAAGTGTTCGCCGCTGCAGAGCTCCGGCGCGGCGCAGCATCGCGCGCCGGGTGACATGTTACGAGCGTACAATGTTTGTTGAAAGGCAACGAGCCGTGAGCGTTGTTAATTGCTTTAGCGCCTAATGACATTAATTGTGGGCGGTCGGAAGCCTAAAATGTTACACAGCAAAGTAAATAGCTAACTCGCGTTAAGTTTCTGAGTAATGAAGTTAACTGATTGTTTAAGTTCGTTGTTATTAAATTTTCAATGTTACATCCACACATATTACAGCCATATCTGTGCGTAAAAATAACTTTGTAATAACTTCACTTGATATTTTATAACAATTTTGTCGAAACAAAAAAATCATATTCTGTGACTGATATTTCTCAAATATTAAATCTTCTGTAGCATTAACAAGACTTATTCGTAATATACCTTTACTAATAAAGTATGCAAAATTTCATAATGTCCAATGTAATTCGACGCGTTATAACAAACCTAGAAGCATACTGGTGGTTTCGGAAAATCTTTCGATGCCGTAAACAGTATTGTTAATAGGTATCAGATTAATGCCACGACTACCTACTAAATATTCAATTTATATAATTATATAATATATAATTTATATAAAAAATTCATTGTATATACCTAGCATCGAATCAAATGAAAAGTGGAGGATATGTGCATCTGGTTAGGAGAACACTCACAGTAGTTGCAGGCGCGGGGTGTGCAGGAAGGTGTCGGCGGTGACGCTGCGCAGGCGGTTGCGCGCCAGCAGCAAGTCGTGCAGGCGACGCAGACCGCGCAGCGCGCCGCCGCCGATGGACTCCACCAAGTTGTCGGACAAATCTCTAAAGAATACATCATTCATAACATCGGACCTCGGAATACTCGAGAAAACTACGAGAACTTTTACAAAAACTTTAGTTTTTTTATATACATAATCCCTCCACGACCGCAAACACGCCGGCGTTACAGTTAACAATCGATTTCTTAGAAATTTACCTGGAGGTGTTAAGATATATAAATAATCAAAGACATAAGGTTGCATCGCAATATATAATTATATACCTATATATTAATGTGTGGGGTTAATGTCTGGTTCAGTTTCACGTAGGATGGCCGGTGGTAGATTGCTTACGGACTTACGTATTAAAATTTTAAAACTTTAAAAAGTGACGATTCAAAAGTCACAAAAAAGCTTGTAAAAATCTATATAATTTTGTTTCCAAATTTGATGTTTGGTAGAAATTATATTTTGTTTGTACGTGTGTCTCTCCTACACACTTCACACGTACGTACCTAGTATCTACGAGTATGAGCATTAGAGCATATCATGATATGAATTTGTGATTTTGTGTACTGGTTCTGTTATTGCTTATTAATAATTATTAGTCCCGCTGACTTTCTTTCGCCAGTTCTTCTCAGGCTTCTTCTTACCGAACTGGTAGTAGACTGACTCATGACGTTCAGTAAATAGTTGTAATAATTTAATGCTGAATAAAATATTTTGAATTTGTATTTCACTTGAGGGGAATTATATTGAAAAAAATATATATATTAAACCTTTTGTATTTTTCATTATTTTTTTATTTCGACTCAAGTCTACATTTAATTAAATTATTTCGTTTACTAAACAACAATGAACTTCATTATTAATTCAATGTAGACTCGATCTTCACTTCAGCCATATTTGCTTAGTATCTACGAGCCTGGATTTTTAACCTGAACATTATCGATATCGATAAAAACGCGTGAGGCATTAGTTGGTCTGTTAGGTTTTATAGGTTGGTAGTCTCGTTGTTTTGACGTCTCTGACGTACAGTCGGTAGGAAAGTGCCATGTAAATTGATCACAGAAATTATGTACTAAGTTGCGCCTCTTAAAACGTAGTGGTTATATTCTTTTTGGCCTCATTGCCTCTTTTCAATATGAAGGGGATCAGGCCATAGTCCACCACGCTAGCGAAGTGCGGATTGGCGGACTTCAAATGACTTTCGAACACTTGCTAGGTTCTCTCAGACATGCAGGTCTCCTCACGGTGTTTCCCTTCATCGTTAGATAAGTGGTAGTCGTGTTGGAAATGTTTCGCACATGAAAATATCAGAGATTCAAGACCCGGACACATTTTCCAAGCGAGAGCGTCACCATTGGGCTATCACTGCGTTGTTATTCTTATACCTCTGCATATTCTGATTCTAGCGTATACTGATGTATACGCTACTTGCTTGCGTAGCAACATGCGTCCATCATAGTCCACATCTACACGACAGCTGCATACTAATTGCATCCTAATTGCCAATAAAGGTGACAGTTGTTTCCTGACCTAAATTGTGTTTTGCAAGCATTTATTTACTAAAGAGACAGATGTTTTCAGTTCAAATGTATGACGATGTCGAAGCCGATGTGACAGATAATGTGTTAACATTAAAATATTTGTTGTTTTTGGCGATACAAGATTGACATAGAAGTTGCAAATTTAAATAAAAATGAAATTATTTTTTTAACGCTTTTTTTTTTAATTTTTTGCTGCCTTCACTAAAAAAAATTAATCAATCGTCATTCCTGCACAGTTTGCGTGCCATTTCAAATATCTTTTTAACGACTACCACTAAAATGCAATTTGTTATCGCCTCGATATTGCGTGATATACCATTATAGGGAGGCGGCACGACGGCCGACCCGCGCGCTGCCTTATATCTGATAACATTTTGGCTAGCGACTACACTATTATATTATTAAATAGCATATTTGTATTACTGATTAAAAATACATACTATGTACTAAGACTTGTGTTAGTTTGGATACAACAAATCCTCTGTGGACAGTTAACTAATAAGAACAACAAAGTTGTCATAGTTACTAGAGGAGTGTCTCAAGAGTGGCAACTTCGATACATAGGCGTCCCTAAAATAACACAGTTTGTTATTTTGATAGAAATCAGATAGAGATATTTCGTTATACATTTTATTTTTTATTTTGTATCAATAAAATTCAAATGTAATCTTACAATGGATTCCATCGCATTCAAATGTGGTATGTTTTAGAGGTTCCAGAGAGAAACGTCTTTTCAGGTTGGAGACATATTTAATAATCAGAATATAATGAAGCTTAGCTTAATGGGTGGTCGACCATACATGGATGATACATGACATAATGATGATACAAGTATGGCTTACAGTACTTAATGCTATACTATCGATATACTATATTATGCTATATTATACTATACTTAATATATAAACATTTTACACTTCACCTCCGGGGGTGAAAGAAAAAAAAAAATTTTAATATATATAAATATTTTTTTTAATATTACATGTACTACCTAATAAATCGTCTTCGGGAATCCTTAAAAGCAACTTGCAACCTATATTCGAGTTCACTTCTATAATTTTCTGGGTTATACATGGGTTCTATTATTGTATTAGATAATCTATTGGGAATATTGCACTGCCTACCAAATACAAGTTCAAACGCTTGGTATTTTGTTTGGGTATGGACTGTGGTATTAAAACTAAAACAGCAGTATGGTAGCCAATAAGACCAAGATTGTTTGTCTTTGTCGCAGTGAATTCGTAAGAATGAACCTAATTTTTTATGAGCATTCTCCAATGCTCCGATAGATTGATGACGGTATGCTGTTGAGGTAATATTATCTATATTTAATAGTTTACATTTACCTGGGTTATGGTGGAAGATGTGGACTCTGTTCCTCTGCCTGTTGCTGTTATTTTAGGTATGCCGAATCTTAAAATAAAATTATTTACTAACGCTCTAGCTACGCTAATGGATTCCTTATTTTTTAGTGGATAGGCTTCTATAAACTTGCTTAACTCACATTGAACAGTTAAAATATATACATTATCGTCATAATCTTTTGGTAGCGGGCCCACTATATCCATAAATATTTTTTCAAACGCGTATGACGCAGTTGTCGATAGAGTCATAGGTTCTTTAACGTATTTACAATTTTTAGATTTCTGGCATTTAGAACATTTTCTAACAAATTCTCTTACATCAGCTTCAAGGCCTGGTCAGTAAAATCGTCTTTTAATATTGTTTACCATCCTACGGACACCAACATGGCCACTGGTTGGTAGTAAATGAAAATCATTTAATATGAATGCATTTAAATCGTTAATAAATCTTTCGTTATTTTTTTCTTTCATTATGCATATTTCAATATTTAACTTTTTACAGAAATTACTCAACATTGTCACAAATTCGAGTCGCGAGAATTGCGCCTTAAAGTTGAGATTAATGTAAATCAACTTTTTACTAGGACAATAAGAAAAACATTCATACTCATCACTTATTCTGTTTCCCTTTCGTAATTTATCTTATTCGTAACCTACTATCAATTTCATTTCTACTGAACCACACGGCTTTCTTAATAACTCTACAACTCTTGGTTAATCAGGCTTTTCGTCTCCAGAGTTATTAATGAAGGGTGTATCCTGTTCCATGCTATTCTCCTTTACCTCTTCTATTTCCTTCTTTTGTTTTCTTGTTAACACAGCCATAACTTGTTCATTTATGCCTTTTAATTCATTAGATGTAATATATATTCATGACAAAGCATCTGCTCCTACGTTTTCTTTACCTTTTACATATTCGATTCTAAAATCATACTTTTCTAACGTTAATCTAAATTTCATTAACCGACTAGAAGGATCTTTCATTCCGAATAAATATACTAATGGTTTATGATCAGGTTTAATAGTAAAATGCCTACCATATACAATATAACGGTCTAAAGTATTTTACACTCTAAACTATAGCTAAAAGCTCCTTTTCTACTGTTGAATAGTTTAATTCTGATGCATTTAAAGGTCTGCTTGCGTATGCAAGTTTGGTTTGGTTGGTTGGTTTCAAATCGGGCTAGCTGGCAATGAAAAAGTTGACCGTCTGGCCAAGGAAGCAATTTCTAAGGGAAGTCATTACCAATGTGTACCTTGGTTTACCGACTATATAGGGGATTTACGGAAAAACTGCCTAAATTTGTGGTCAGAATATTTTGATGAGCGTTCCCTTACTAAAGGAATCTGGTACAAAATATTCAGCCTAAACTTATGGGTTCACTATGGTTTGAATTAGAAAAGATAAGTAGACAAGAGGTTATCATTGCATTTCGCATTCGGTCTGGTCACATCCCTTTAAATAGTTTTGGTTACATGATGGGCAAAGTAAGTTCTCCCAATTGTGCCCTGTGTGGTACAGTAGAAGATGTCTATCACGTATTAGAAGAATGTGATCGAGTTAAAGCTCAAAGATCATTGATAATTAATACCTCAACGTGGAAACAATGTTGGATATTGTAATAGTATTTTAGCTAATCCTTTGTCTAATAAAGCTAAGATGCTTTATAAATTAGTTAAATTAGTAATTAAACTTAGAAGTAAGAGAATTTGTTATTTATATTATATTATGTGCTTGTAAGCAATGATGAGGATGACATTTTCGCTTTGTGAAAACACCCTCTATAAAAGAAAAGATTAAAAAAAACAATAAAATTCAGCCACGCTTTTGCGAAAGAATCATAGACGACATCAAGATACTTGTAAGCAAGCTTAACCGCGGAAGTCATTTACCCCATATGCAATTATATAATTATACGTAATCCTATAATGTTCATTTCAAGAGTCAACGGAAAAATTACAATTTCGAACTAAAAAATATATTTTCTATTTCTGTTATTCCAAAAGTAACGTAAGAAACACCTAATATTAATAATTAGGTAGTTCTTGCGTTATGTTTTGGACTATGTTTTATTTTCCATACTTACAGTACGCGAAGTTCAGTACAGTCGTGCAGTTGCGGCACGCGCTCCAGCTGGTTAGAGCGCAAGTCCCTGCACAAAACAACAACTTGATTACAATTAGTTATATTAAAGATAATTTTTAAAGCCAATTTAGTAGATATAAATGAGCATACTTTATCTTTAGTGGGCTTAATAGATATCATACATTAAATATTTATTATATAGTAGGTACCACGCGTTTCAACAATAGCAATCCGTTGGCAAGTTGAGTTAGTTCAACATAATACGGCCCACGCTAGTTGCGAAATGTAATAACCATGTAAACTGCAATAATACTCTCGTCGAGACGAGACGCTTGCAGCGATGCAGCATGATCGACTGACTGCTCTCGGGTAATTAAGATTGTTTGTTTGTAAACCTCTAAACTGGCACACTTTGAAGCAATTACCAAAAGAATTGAATTGAATTTAAGCTCTAAGCGTTTTTTAAAATGAAAATTAAAGCTAAGATTTTGATTGACGATACTTCTTTTTCATGGCATAGGTAGGTACTGTTTTTTCGCAAAATGTATATTTTGATATATGAATACAAAATGTATATTTGGTGTATCTAAGTGCAAAAATTAAAAAATAGTGACTTTTACTTTTATAAAAGTAGAACAGGAAATTTTTACTTTGTACTTAAATTGATGTAGCTAAAATTTAATTATATGTAAATTACCAGGTTATTTAAATGGCAGTTAGTGATTTATTATGAATTTTAGTTCGAAATATCTAACCTTGCCATTCCACTACATACTCTACCAATGCAATGAACGTCTAACGTAACGTAACATCAGTCAGCCTTAAATATGTAAGTGTAAAATAGTGCAACTTAAATAGTAAGTACTGACAGGGCTCGTAGTTGCGGCGCGTGCGCACACAGTTCGTATGGCAGGTGCGCGAGGCGTGCGCGGTCCACGCGCAGCGTGTGCAAGCGCACCGAGCCGTTCAGCGAGGGCAGGTTGTCCAGCCCGCGGGCCTCCGACAGTATGCTATATCAAATAATATTAAAGTTTTTATCAAGTGAATGAACTTAGCAAATTGTGCTTTGTAGTAAATAGCACAAAGTACAATTGTAATTATAATAACAACATTGTTTCTTCATTGTTGAATCGATGACAAGTCCTTGTACCTCATTCGTTTTGGTCGTATATACCGTTTTTTATTGATTTCCTCTGAATAATTATCGATATAGCAGCAGATATTGCCATATCCATGACCTAATAAAACATTTATTGCTTAATTTTACGACGTCGATTCAAAATCCGCAGGGCGACTATGAGTTCACCGCACATTTAAGTGCTCAGGTCACTCGACGCTGACATTATCTATAATTGGAGAGTAGTCGGGCATCCACCGTGTGTGTATCCTGCACTCGGCGGCTAACCTCCCCCTCTCCACACGCACACGGACTTCACGATGACCTCGTTCCGCCGAACGTGCAGCACTGAGTCACGCCGCCGCGCCGCCCGCGTACCTGCACCGCGCCGTCCGATGCACGCAATACCATCTGAGATAGTTACGTATGCATTTGCATACATGTTGTGTAAACTCATTGATTCGAGCTGCATGTAACGCAAAAATACATTTCTTATATTAAGTAAATAACACGTAGTCGTGATTTGTAGACTCCTGGACCTCGACACAAGGAACACTAATTGGTGTCATTATTGTTAATTTTAACAAAAACAAATAAGTAATTAACGGCAAGTAATTAATATTAAGCTTTTAGATTAAAGTAAGAACTATGATTTGGCAAGCTGCTGACTGCGACGAGCTTCTTATGAGTTTTGAAACTCTCTTTTGCACGGACACTTGGCCGATAAACACGATAACAAACTTACATTAGGAACGTATAAAACTAGGACAAATCTTACAACAATTGAGGTTATCTTTTATATATAGTACATAATATTACTGTATTCAATTTTATCAAGCGCGTTCTAATATCAAAATAGAATGACAAACTTATTTGGCTTATCTTATAATATCGTGTCCGTATTTACATCAAGTTTAAAAATATTTAAGTGGAAATAATCTAAAGAAAATGATAAATTCTAATTAGTCAATAATATACTTAAATGAGAAATTTAAACACTTAGAAATAAAAAATTCCTCAATAAACTAGAATTAAAAGCAGCATTTCCTACAACAAATCAAAAGAACACAAAGATAAAATTATAAACTTTATAGGCATATCAGAAACAAATTATAGTATATTGGAAACAAAATTTGAAAAGAAACCCTTTGCAATCATACAAGCATAATCTCCAACGGAGAGCTCTATGCAGGACTACTTTGGAGGAGGCTTTGGACATTTACTAAATAAATACATTTAATTATGAAATTAAATACCTAATTTATAACTATTGTCAGAATTAATGTATGGAAAGAAATTTTATTTATATGTATTATTGTGAAATGTTTAGTATTTACTCAATTGAATTATTTAATTTACTGTCATTGTTTATTTATTTGTTAATGATAATTTATATATATACAATATAATTTCAAATAATATTAAAGATTTTCAAAATAATTTAATTCCAGATTACAAAATTATTAGTTAAAAAATTATAAGTTAATAAATAGTTACTAAATTATATAATTTTATATTTCAGCAATGTGATATAGACATTTTTTCTGATAGTTTAAATTTATTTTAAAAGAAAGTGTATTTAAATATTTAGATTAGTTTTTTTTTCTTCTTTTATTTATTGTACAACTAAAATGGCTCCTTATATACTTTTAACCAAATAAAATTTTAATGGAATACTTTTATAAAAAGCTGTGCATACTTTTAAATTAAATTTATATACAGATAGGTAAAATTATAATGTTAAATAAATGTTTTTATGTAAATTTAGTTAGTAAGCCTTTATAATAAATAAATGAATAAATAAGGTACTTTAATATAATAAGCGCTCAGCATTGGGCGTTCTCTGCGGTCTGTGACGTTACTATGTAAAACATGTATTACACGTTTCATTGCTCAGAAAATTTAATCGGGAAAAGAAACATTTTTTTGAGTGGACTGCTTGGAGATTAAAGGTTGTGTTTGAAAGTCGGTTCATTACCAAGTTCGATAATACCGAAATAGTATCTTCGATAGTGCGTTATCTTTGTTTTAAACTTGTTGCTTCTATGTTTTTAACCCACTTCCTCAAAAAGGAGGAGGTTCTCAATTCGGCTGTATGTTTTTTTTTATGTTTGTTACCTCAGAACTCCGTCATTTATTAACCGACTAGCGGCTCACTCTTGCTTCGCTCGGTTCGGTTCTAGAAAAACACTAATTGAGATCTATTAGTTCCCACGGGAACCGTAAATTTTTCCGGGATAAAAAGTAAACTATTTGTTATTCTGATGTATGACCTATATTAATGTAAAGTTTCATCAAAATCCAATCAGTAGTTTTTGTGTTCTAAGCTGTATAAGTTACTATAGTTTTTTGACTGTCCCACGGGAATCCTTTAATTTTCCAGGATGAACAGCAGCCGATTTGCTATTGTCATGTATGAACGATATTATTGTAAAGTTTTATTAAAATCCAATTAGTAGTTTTTGTGTACTAAGCTGTATAAGTTAGTTTTTTTAACTATCCCACGGGAACTATTTAATTTTCCGGGATAAAGAGTATCTAAGATGTTGCCCGGGGATATAAGGTACCACCATGCAAAATTTCATTTAAATCGGTCCAATAGATTCGGAGATTAGCCCGTACAAACAGACAAACAGACAGAGAAACAAAAAAATTGAAAGAAATCTGGATTTGTTCTATTTGTCTTCTTACACCCCCCTGACTCGGTTTTTAGCATTTTTTTGCTATGTACAGACATTCGACCTCTACTGTTTTATTATAGTATAGATTTAAACAATTTTAATTTTGTTTCAAAGTGTATTTTTCCAGATTGGTCCATTTAAATAAAAAAAAATACCATCCCTAAGGGTGGAAAAATAGCTAATGATGAATTTAACCTACTTCCAATTGTCATATTAACTTGAAACTTTGCAAGTGTGTCTATTTCCGTTAATAGTTCAGTGTTTCGGTATCGTCAACATGATCTGATGGTAAGGCCAGAAGGTGGATAGGTGGAACTCTTCATCGGCTAATAGTAGATATCTCGAGTTATGGGCTTATTTTGTTTGATTTGACAAGCGTTAGAATCGGATTCTAGAGCCAGAATTTTTAGTGTTACTAATAAAAGCGAATTTTAATTTGTAAGTCTTCGTATAAAAATTGGCATCAAAGTAACTTAAACGGTTTAAGCGAATATTTTATTAAGATACTTTCATCTTACTTTGCTACTACTATGTCTACACAAAAAAGGGAAAAATAAAAACTTTTTAACAAAAAAATAACAACCGACTTCAAAAAAAGCACTAAAAATTAAAGCCAGCCGATACGAAGCAAAGCACACCGACTTCGAAAATATTTGATTAGGTATGTATAGTAAATGAAAATTAAAAATCAGTTATTTTTTACTTTTTAGGGCTTATTTTGATGTCGGTTTTTATTTTTTTGTTAAAGAGTTTTTTATATTTAAAAATATCAATGAATGTACATTGTAATTGATAACAAATACGGATATAGATACAATGATTATAGGTTCTATGTATCAATACCTAATATATTAAGATTATCAGTAATATTATCAGTAAAACCTAAGATGCTTAAGTCAGAGTGGTTCCCATGCAGGTAGAAACGCTAACTTCGGTGTTCTTTAGAAAGAATCTAAGACGTGTAGTAACATATTTACTAATTTATTTAATTATCTTTCAATGGGCTCTTTTAGCTAAGTAACACGTGCAAATATGGAGATATTTTCTCAAATAATATTATTTTGTTTATGCATTCATTTTATATATATTTTTTAAAAACAATTACATACATAAATACAATATTGAAATAAATGACACTATCCACATATGAATACAAATTTTAAATAAATTGATCAAGAAACTGCGTAAGCGATTTTCGTAGAACAATTTACATTTTTACAACTGACGAAGAAATTTTTTTTCAATGGATTATCTTAAGACTTACAAAAAAAAATTGGCAGTAATCAAAACTTGAGTTTTGCAGTAACATAATATGTTTACAATATTGTCTCTATCCTCACTCGCCTTTGTGCTGCAGCTTCATCCATCGTACTTCTATTTAAGCCACAGAATTGCAAAGTAGGTACACACGACCCGCGCACATCGGAGCGCGACGCGCGGGAACGAGCGAGATCTCAGTCGCAAGCTATGTCTTTGGATCTATACACTAAGGCTTTCATTAAAATTCTAGACGGATCTTCTCTAGTGACGAATAAAATAGTCCGACTTACAGATAAAAGTTTTAAATAGCTTATATTTTAGAGATAAGTTGCATATGTACCTACTTCCTACTTTATTTTTTGCAACAGAGGTCCGCGCCATCCATTACACGAAATTTAATGTATTTTAAAAATGATTAATTGATTGTTAAATAATAATCATACAAAAAATCAAGTAACATTTATATGGAGGTTTCCATATACGGTAACGAAAATTCGAAGTAAATTACACTCGCTATTTGGGAACTCTCTGTAACTACGATGCAATTGACGAGATGCAATTATTGTTTTTATAACTTACTAGTAACTTATCCTTACGTCGTTCCGGTGCATCTCTAAGTGCCTTACAATGGCCTGCGTTACTCCAAGTCAAAGCGTATCTGTGTATTAAACATCCAAATCGGTCCAGCGGTTTCGGCGTGTAACATATAAAAACTTTCACATTATTATATTCGATAGGGCCACGTGTAATGCTATATTTCAGAGAGAACTCACAGAGTGGCGAGGCGCGGCAGGTGCTCGAGCGCGCGCGGGTGTAGCTGGGAGAGCGGGTTGGCGCGGAGCTCGAGCCGCGCCAGCCGGGCGCACGCCTGCAGCCCCGGCGACACGCGCTCCACGCGGTTGCTGGCCACCGACCTGGGTCATGAGGGATCAGGTCACGTCTTTTACAACACAAATACATTCAATAAGACCTAATACAACATGCCTCAGTTTTATCTATATTTAAAACTTTTTTAAAATAAATAAAACCGACTTCCAGGCACTAAAATATAAAAACTAACTAAACGGGGGTTTTCATTTAGATTTCGATAAAATTTAGAATAGAAAACAAAAAAAAAAAAAATCCAAATCGGTTTAGGCGTCTTCGAGTAATCGGTGAACATACATAAAAAAAAAAGATTCCGACGAATTGAGAACCTCCTCGGTTTTGGAAGTCGGTTAATAAGAACAATATTAAATAAAGCACATAAATATGTTAAACTGTACTTCCAGTTAGAATTAAATTGATAAAATAAATTGGTTTTGATTTAAGTAAAAAACTTACAAATCTTCGAGCATGGGCAAGAGGTGAATGGCAGGAGGTAGCTCACTCAGGAGATTATCTTCAAGCCGTCTGTGGGAAAATATTTTTTTAGAATACAACGATACAGAAACGATTTTCGAATTTAATGTTGCGCAGTTCTAGAATAAGGGTACAAATAAAAATATACAAATTAAATGACTTGTTGGTTAAGTATATCTATATTACATAGTATAAATAACAATCAAATAAATATCAACAAATAAAATCTCGGAGAGATCCTCGCTTTTTGAGAATTAATCACCGTGGATAATATTTGCGCTCCTTCGTATTGAAGAGCTCGCGCCAGTCCAATTTTGCGCTCAAACACTAACATTCATCAAACTCGCTTATTGTTTGTGTTGCCAAATAAATCACGCACGCAGATAAGTAATGACAGCCGAACCCGCGGCTGACAGCCGAGCTCAATATTGCTTATTTATTCGAATACAAATGGAAACTCATACAAGAAATAAATTTTACAATACACAAAATATATACAATATATACATATATTATACAATACACATAAAGACGCCCGAGTGGATGAAGATACTCTTTGTATCGGAAAGTTTGTTAGCTTTCAAGGAAAAATCTCTTTGTTCTTTGTCGTAATTAAAAGTTGAAAATGGTAAGCTTTGATTTTGTTGAAAATAAAGAGCCTTAGGGCTAATGATAGTGAAGTGCAGTGAGAGTCGCGCGGCTGTTAGTTGCCGGCGAGCCCAGCAGCACGGCGAGCTTTCGGCTGCGGGGGCGCGAGCACTGCGGGGGAGGGGAGGGGGGATGCATTGTGAGGGCGGGCGGGCAGTCAGGGCGGGGAGGGCGGCGGACATTAGCCGGTCCCCGCGGCGGGCGATTAAGCGATTAGCCGTTGAATATGCGCTATGAAAGAGAACTTCACGTTTGCACACCATGACTACGCTTTATTTATTTTTTCACTATTGTTCAAAGCTATTTATTTTAGATGTAAGCGGATGCTTTAACACAATTACTCAGACAAATATTATAATGTAAGGAAAGGTAATAAAAATACAATAAGGTAAAAGAAATAAGAAACCCTAATTTTTGGCTTTTATTGAAGTTGGCCTTTTTATGTTTTTCTTACATGCTTTATTTGTATAAAGCGCTCCGAAAAAATATATAAACATAAAATTTCTTTGCGTTATCGCAAGCCGCCGACAGCAGCGGGGCGTGATTCAGGTTATAGTGTAGTTACAAAAGGATTTTCTTTGAGGTCAGGCTCTAATAGCCGCTTTCCGCAGCTACTATCTTTTTATTATTACAGATTCTGTTTACGTCTGTCACCTATTACATATTTTGGTATCTTTTTAAATTGCCGGAATAATCTTATAAATATATTATATTTACTTCTAGCTAAATGAAACTATTTTATGAAGTTTTAATTTACCTTAAAACTTAGTTTTTTGTGTTAAGTGTCTATGTTAATATGTATATACTTCATAGAAACTTTAAAGAAATAAATAAAAACCGACTTCCAGGCACTAAAATGTAAATACTTATAAATTAAAAATTTAAAAAGCCCCCTACGCAAATTAATTGTCATTTAACGATTACACTGGCACGCGCGACGCGCTTAATCGAGTAAACATACGCCATAATGCCTTACATCATTTTGAAAAAGAGCTGATATTCTATTCTTACACTGCTGGATCGATATTACTCAACAAGGCTAAGAACCATGGCAAGGAATGAAATGAAAAAAAAACCGCATCGAAATCGGTCCATCCGTTTGAGAGATACAATTCCACAGACACAGACACACGCAGATAGACATCGACGTTAAACTTATAACACCCCTCTTTTTGTGTCGGGGGTTAAAAATAAATAATTATTATATTCATTTCGAATAGATACCTAATCAGATATATTCGAAGTCGGTGCCAGCCGATGCAAAGCAAATTTAATAAGTATATTTGGATACGTAAGATACATCACAAAATGATGTATAATATTTTAACTATAATTAGAGTTTTAAATAAAACTATCTTTTTGGAATTTTTCGCGGATTTATTTGGATTTTTGGTTCCCGACGTTTCGAATGCTTTACAGCATTCATGGTCAGGGGAGAGACTGAGGTGTTAGATGTCTCGAAGGTATAGTTTTTACAGACAGCCTACCCTAATATTTTTTAACTTTAAACATTTTTATAATTTTAATTAGTTTTATAATTGAATATGGAATATTATTTATATATCTATCTAAGAAAGTATTATAATTAGAGTTCATACCTAATCATATTTACCTATTAGATATTCATATCTTAAAATATTGTCGGCTGGCACCGACTTCGAAAATATCTGATTAGGTATCTATTCTAAAAGAAAACCCCCGGTTTATTTATTATTTATATTTTAGTGCCTGGAAGTCACTTTTTATTATATTATTTTTTAAGTTTTTATTTTTCCATTTTTAGTGTAAACGTATTAAGCAGGTAATTTGTAAGAAGAAAGTTTTTTAATTACATATTCGATTAAGAAATTTATTTAAACAAATAATCTATTGTTGATTTTTTAAAAACCGCTCGACCGATTTCGATAAAATTTAAATGGGACCATCTGGAAAGTATACCCTACTCTTACTTACTCTACTATTCGAAACAAAAAAAAAATCCAAATCGGTTCAGGCGTCTTCGAGTAATCGGTGAACATACATAAAAAAAGGGTTGGGTTTTAGAACGAAGGTCCGATTGTTTAAATAAACAATATATATTCATTAATCATACCACACAACATTATTGTTTCACTCTACGTCGCATAGAAAATACATACATCACCGTTAGTTAATACACGAAAAGTATAATTTATTGAATTCTTGTCAAATGTTTTCAATAGTTTAGCTATATTTTGGATACTGGATAGGTGGAACTCTTCAACGGCTAATAGTAGATATTTTGATTTTGGGCTTATTTTGTTTGATTTGACAAGTCTAACACGTTAGAATTCTTACTTTGCTACTACTGTCTACGCCAAAAAGGAAAAAATAAAAACTTTTTAACAAAAAAATAAAAAGCGATTTCAAACAAAAGCACTAAAAAATAAAAAATAACTGATTGGTAGTTTTCATTTACTATACATACCTAATAGAATAATTTCGAAGTCGGTGCTAGCCGATATAAAGCAAAGCACACCTAGTAGACTAGTTTGACCGCCTTACTACCCTCCATGGTTGAGTCTCATATACAATCTCTAGGTGACAGCTTGATAATATATTATGGCAGTATACGTTTTGAAAATTGTCATTCATTTACTTAATATTTTTTTAAATCTGCTGCATGCTCCGTTCAAAAATGGCATCGTCTTTATGCCTAAACTTTCCAGTATTTTATATACGAGACAATTAAACAAATGCTCACATTGTATTTGATAAGTAAAATTATATGATTTTAGATAAAGTTCAATTTGTGTATGATTTAAGTTTATTTCTAGTATTTTAGATCGTTCAGAAGCTATTTTGATCATTGATTTATCATTTAATCATGTGAACATCGCACGTCGACTGCATTTGTTCTGGCGGCGGCGGATGCGCGTCATTCTGCTACTGAAGTGGACTAAACTTTAGGGTTAGCATGCGATGAAAAGATTATATCAGGGCTTTTAAATTTAAATAGATACTTATATCTATATTTGTATAGAACATCTAAAGTAAATTCAATTTAATCGTATAAAGTGTAATTATAAGGGTGGGGCTCAGTGTAAACTATAAGGGAAACTTATTTGTATAGTAATAAAAGTTATGCAAGAATAATTTTCATAGAAATCAGAGGTTATTCAAAGTAGAATACATATTACTCTTCAAATTATAATCCAGCGACATCAGCCTCGACAGCGGTTAGTTGAGAGGTAAAGAATATTAATTTATTTTGAAGAACATTAAAAGAACGATTTCAAACAACGATTTTGAACATCTTTGTTATGTTAGGATTCAATATATATTTTCTATTTAATTCTATCAAACACTATTACGTTTTTAAAAAAAAATAGGCATTGATGTGTTTATTGAATAATACATTTTTATTATTTTATATTAAAAAATATATACAAGAATATTAATAAAAGTGTTGTTTGAAATATGAGAACTGAAATAATAAAAAACAAGCAATAGTAGAGAAAAAAAATTACATTAATGGGTATTTTTTTCGTAAGTTAGATTTATTTTTGTAAAAAAATGTTTACGTCTACACTGTGCATGTGTGATTACTTAGTGGTGTAAATTGTTTATATATAATATAATTTATAAAACATGTACTTGAAATATAGTCACTAAGTCCAGCTAGCTGCTAACCCTAAGCACAATCGATCGCCGCCGAGAGCAATGATACTCGCAGCCTCCGAGCCCCGGTCGCGACCGCAGTGTCGTCTGCACGACGCGGGACTCCGTCGACGCGATCCAATAACCGAGCACTTGACCATGTTATAAATAATCCTCAATATAGGATGAATAACGGACTACTTATAATAAGTTTTAAATAAAATTAAGTGTTGAATAATAATACCTTGACTACTGAATACTACCGATAGATGAAGCATAAAGCAGATTGTTAAAACATTGTAATACTAATTCAACACCGTGAATAAATACACCTTTTAAGCCAATACGAAAAGAAAACAGATACATTTTTATAGATATACGCTTTCTTAATAAAATGGGAGAAAATAAATGACATACGTGAAGCAAGAGCGAGCCGCTAGTATTAAATTTTACTTAGAAGATCAAGTATATATTAGACCCTAAGATAAAAGGCACCATTAATGTCTTAATCTGTTCGTCGCTTCGTTGCGGAATTTCCACAAATATGCCTGATATTCCTATAGAGTGAGCGCAGAGCGTAATCTTGCTTACTGGTGTATATTTATTATCTTAATGTAAATAAGAAATACCCAGCAGAAAATAAATTTTAATACGTCATTTAAAAACACTCCTTCTTCAAAGTATTATAAAAGAGATGAAAAATATTTTTATCTATTGAGGGTTTCATTATAACTTATAATAATAAATGACAAGGGCCAAAGCCAATGTGTGAGAGGTGTCATAAAACATAACAGGCAACAGTTAGCCACTAAACCGCCAGCCTTGAGCCTATGCACATGCCGTGTTTCCCGCGCTGTCGCCATCAGATTACGTACACTATATCTTTTATGACCTATAAAATCGTCGTAAAATTAATATGGTCACTTACGAGGTCAGCAAAGTAAGACAATTGGGCCGACATTAGACAATAAAAATAACTCTACTTTCGTTTACGCGCCATTGTGAGACAGACATATGTAATTGTTAGTCACAGTTTAGTTAAACATTGGGCTTTTACAGTATTTGACAAATCTTATAAAGAAAAACGTTTTATGTCATCATTATCTAATAACCAAGGAATTGAGAAAAAAATATCTTATTAATTTAGATAGGTTTATGTTGAATAGGATATTTATTGAATTTTATAGTACATTGTTTTTTACATTCCATTGCAAAGATATTTAGAAGACTAGAAAATTTACGCATAATATTGAATAAAATTTTCCAAGAAGTCAACGCACGACAGGATCATATGTACATATACTCCGATGTATATACATATATAAAGTACTAGTGCATTAAAATTTGTACTGTTTGTTTCCCAATTAAATAAAAAAATAAATAAAAAAAATAAAAATAAATTATCATGCACACCGGCGCGGCGCGAGAATTACAATGCGTCGATGTAAGCCGGCAATAATAACAGACGCGAACGAACAGATAGCGCGGGATCGTTTAGGTTTTATTGTAGAGTCGGAGCTTGTTGATATTTGCGCTATCTCACTAGTGTCGAGGGCGCCGCACGCCGCCCGCCCACGCTGCGCGCTTCGCCTTGCGCGCTCGCAAACCGATAAGATTATTTCTGCCCACGGCCTCACATCTGAGTTGCAGAGCTTATTTATTTTGTATAAGTTACAAGGTATTACAGAATAATATATATTGCTACATCAAAGATGCGTGTTGTACTCAAATAAAGTGTTCACTTTATTACTCTGTGCTGTTACTAGAATGTTTGATAACAAAAAAGGACTATTAGAAGAGCGATGTCGGTAACGATGGTCTACTTCATAACTCCGGGTATATTCACTGAAAAGTCACAGAAATCCAAACCTAAGACGTAATGGGATGTAATGTTAGAGGCAATAATGAAATAGGTACTATTATACTTACACGCTTTATACATTTTATTTGTTTTTTAATATTTGAACATTCAGCTAAGTACCTACATATATAATAGCGTCCACAACGATATATTTATATACTAATGCACTTCTATTAGCATCGATAGTTGCCGTTGTCATTTATGCTTAGTTGGATATACCTAAGTAAAACTAAAAGACGTGTTTATTTTTTTACAGACTATTCTAAAGTCAACAATTTGTGTGTGAAAATTTACCATCGTAACACACAGCTTAATTAGCCTTTTGGGAACTTTGGCACTGTAGATAGATTTTAGGTGACTTTCTCCCAGTACTTGCATCAGTACGGAAGGCGCTCGTATCTTACATCTTTAAACGAGCAATATATATATTTACATTTAGATTCAGATTATATATATCGGGAGCGAAAAATCGATCTACATTGGTCTTTTGTCTGAGAAAACGCCTGTTCTTGAGTTTTCATGCGGTTTCCTTTCGCATTATTCCACACAAAATATGGTGGGTAATTTCGCACATTTTGGCATAAACATCGTGGTCAAGCGGCCAAGGCGCAAGATCGACAATCATAGGTTCGAATCTCGGTCGGATACAAAGTTTTTACTTTTGTTTTTTATTGTTATTTTTATATTTATTGAAGTTTTTAGCTTTTTTTTAAAAAAAAAGGAAATTGTTGTGTAGGCCAAAAACTCCGAGCGAAGCTCGGTAGCCCAGGTACTATACATATATACGAGTATATAATGTAGGACCAATACAACACAACATAAATAAACTTTGACAAACTCAATCTGCTCTTGTCTACGAATTCTTAAAAATTATATTATTGACAAATTGACCTATATCTCGTATGTAGATTCTGTCTTTATGGTGTCGCGTCGTAATCAAAGCTCCAGTTGGAATCTTATAAGTATGCCTAGTCTGTTCGGTTTTCGATTGCTCGATTCGTCCACCGTCCTATTTATAAACAGTTTTAGAATTTTTTGTTTTGGTCCATCGTAATAATTACTATTTTTTATTATTTTATTAATTAAGAATTACTTTTTTTTTTTGGTGGGTAGGTGCTAACTATTAACACATGTTTTTGAGTGCTCTATATTTTATAGTTTTTAAAAATCAAATATAAGAGATATATAGTGATATGTGTTAGTAAATAAACCTTAAACCTACCAGCTTTATATTCCTCTATAATATTCAGACACTTGTGCACGTATAAGCAGAAATTATAAATAAAACATTAACACAACTTCAGTGTATAGTTAAAATAAAAAATAAAAACAAAATGGAGTCCATGAAGCACACAATTGCTGAGCTTAGTGAACACTTCAACTCAAAAATGGCAGAGTTTCAAAAACAACTTCAAACTTCTTCGGCATCAGCAACAAGCCCAGCTTCTACTATTGCTACCCAATTTAGCACTTTTAGAAGTTTCGTTTTGACTGCATTAGAGGGCCTCCAGAAGCAGCTTGATGTTCTATCTAGAAAACAAGATGAATTTGAAATGAGATCCCGGAAGAAAATTCTACTAATCCATGGTGTTCAAGAAAGTAAGAATGAAAAATGTCCCAAGTTGTTACCAAAATAATTTCTGAGAATTTAGATATCCCTCTCAAAGAGGATGACATTAGTCATTGTCACCGCTTAGGGCATTCTAGATCTGATAAACCTAGAGCCGTCCTTGTTAAGTTCAAAGATTTTTCTCTTCGGAACAAAATTTGGTATTCCAAGTCAGGCCTCAAGAATTCTGGGATAACCCTGTCAGAGTTTCTCACCAAGGAACGGCATAGCACATTCGTGGCAGCCCGACAACGTTTGGGAGTCTCAAAGTGCTGGACAAAAGATGGATACGTGGTGGTTGTGGGGGCTGACGGTTCGCAAAGCCGCATTCTCACGGTGGGTGAACTTAACGCCATCTCGCCTTTGCCCCATGACGCGCCATTGTCGACCTCCAGCGCTCCTCCCGTTTCTTCTGGCCCCAGCAACACAGGCAAAGTCTCCAACATTAGGACAAAACGAGCTATCAAAAAGTAATGCAATTCACTTTGAATATTTACTTTAACTTTGCATGACTAATTTATGATCATTCACTATTACCTTAAGGCCTTATTTCTATATTTATTTACGTAGTTTTAAAGTATATAAATGGATATTTAAGTCTTTTATAATATGTATTTTAGTCGGTAGATTCACGCTCGTAATTTGTTTACTTTTATAACTTCGTAGTTTGTACCTATCTTTTATCAACTTTTCTTTTTAGCTGTCAAATTGTCATCTGTCATATTATGTCAATGCTTACTCTTCATGTTGTTTTTGTATCTGTGTAATTGGATTATCTCTTTTGCTTTATAATCTTTATTACTATTTTTGATTGTTGTTTTTTTTTCTTGCTTTAACTGATTTGTGCTTAATTCTTATTTTTTGTTTTTAATTTTATTAAGTGTAGATTTTACTTTGATTCTTATTACCTTTAGTCTGTATTGTTAATTTCTTCTTACTTCTGCTGGTGGGTGAAAGGATTAAGGACTCTTATATATCTTTTTTTTTTTAACTCTTTATTTTGTTTTATATACCATATTTATTTTTTTTATTTTTTTTTATCTATTACTATATATTATTCTATATTATTATTAATATTATTTTATTTATTTATATATTATTCTTATTTTATCTGATTTATATATTAATTGTTTATCTAATTATTTAAATATAATGTATTTAAATGATAGTTCAGATGACGACATTAGCTTCCACTCAGCATCATCATCAAACGACAGTTACCATAGTTCTTCGATTCCACTCTCTTCCCTTCTTGATTCCACTTTCTCTCCCCTTCCTAAGAATTTTAACGTTGTGCATATTAATGCTCAAAGCATTCCTTCCCATTATCCTGACCTTGTAGCCTCTTTCACTAATAAAAATATACACGCAATCCTTATATCTGAAACATTTCTCAAACCGTGTTTACCCTCAATCTCCTACTCTGAAACTTCTGAGCATATTTTAATTGAGGTATTATTTGGTTCTGTGAAATTGTTGCCAGCTGACTCCTTCTCATACCATGACCTAGTATATTTATCTTATAAAATCCGTCCTCCTAAATTAATACGGTCGTGATGCGGCGTAGCTTTAAAAATTTTGACAACAATAAATTTTTAATGAATTTCCCTCTACCTGGCAAACTGCTCGCTTCAGTAATGCTTTCAACACAGTTGACTTTAAACTTACTATTGAACGGTTAAACAGTGACCTACACAAAATTTATTCCTGGAGTACGACGTATGGGCTCCGTGTTAATCCTATCAAGTCACAAGTCATTATTATTGGAAGTCAAAAGTTGACCAACAAGATCGACTTTAATACCTTGTCCCCTGTTAGATTTGGCAATTCCGACCTAGCATACAGTAACGCCGTCAGGAACCTTGGACTGTTTTTCGACAACTCCTTATCCTGGACTGTGCAAATTGCAGAGGTGAGTAAAAGGATGTTCGCTGCAATAAGTTGTTTGAGGCGATGGAAAAATCTGTTGCCTATTAAAACTAAAACTGCACTAGCTCACTCACTACTGCTACCAATTTTAGATTATGCTGATTGCTGCTACCTCGACGTTTCAGAGGAACAGCTTAACAAGCTCGAACGTTTGCAGAATATGTGCATCAGATTTATATTTGGTTTACGTAAATTCGACCACATCTCCGAATACCGTAAGCAATTAAAGTGGCTTCCAATCAGATTTAGGCGCAATTTGCACGTCCTTTCCATCCTTTTCTCCATCCTTTATAATCCAACTACTCCCTCTTACTTAAAGGAACGGTTTAATTTTCTAGGTTCGGACGTGTCTGGTTTGCAACTTAGGTCTCAGAGCGACAACCGTTTGAAATTACCATCTTGCACCACCAATTACTATGGTAATTCTTTTACCGTAAAAGCTGTAAAGCTATGGAATATGCTCCCCCATGATGTTCGCCATTCAAAATCTCTAAATATTTTTAAACGTCGTCTAACTAATTATTATCTGTCTTGTTAGTTATTAAGTATATATGTATATACTATGTATTCATATGTAGTTATGTATCTTATGTATATGTATGTATGTATGTATTTATGTATCTGTGTACATATATATTATACGTGTATGTATATATTTTTGTCTTTTGTATGTATTCATGTTTATAAACGTAGTTCATCATGTCTGTATTTAGTGTTAATTGTACCGTCCCGTCTTCGATTCTTCTAATCCTTTCACCAAAGGTTGTCTGTAAGAGATTGCTCGTAGCAATAAGACCGCCTTTGCATGCCTATTTGTTATTTATTTTTTATTTTTATCTTCTGTAATCTTTTTTTTTTTTGTGTGTGCAATAAAGAATTTATCTATCTATCTATCTAAGAATTACTAGGTAACACGATATGAATACATACATACAATAATGGAAAACGTAAATAAAACAATTATTAATAAAAACTGGTTAATTGACGGCGAATTCGTTTTAGAGAGTATACAGCAGCTATTTATTATAATGGTCTATTTTATTATTATTGTATATATTTTTATTATCTGTGCTAGTATTGATTCGATTCACCCTTGACCTATTAAGAAATTATTTAAATACATAAATTAAAAGACGGAAGTCTATTTAGGTAATAGTCTTTTTTAATTCGATTATTTTTTACGTTGCTTAGTTGATTCATTATTTATACTGGGAGATGAGACCGAGCTTTTATTTCCTTAGTAAGTATAATGAATACATCATATTTTATTGCCTTTTAATTTGATTTAATGTCTTAGCTATTTATCATTTATTACGAGCGAGAATCCGACACGCATGAGTAGTAAGTATGATATGAAGTTTCCCAAAGCATTTTTAACTTGTGTTTTATTGGCATACTAGCGACTCACCCTCGCGTCGCTCCGCTCGGGTTCGTCACTTGGTACATTTTAACGGTTACTATAAATTTCTCAGAGATGAAATATTTTCCCGCAGTAAAAAGTATACTATATGCCCATTTATCATTATAACCAGCTATTATCATACCAAATTTTATCAAAATCTGTCCAATGGTTTTCTCGTGATGCGTTCCCAGACAGACAAATATTCTAAAAACTATAGATTCGGTTTCTGTATCGATAATAATGACTTTTTAAATAAGATTTTCCAAAGAATATTTAATGTACAGATTCGACTCAGTAAGAATTTTATTATATGTATAGATTATATTTGTGAAATAATAAATAAAAAATTAAATAATAAAGTATGTATATTGAAATATGTTGATGACAGTGTTGACATTAGAACATTTATCAGGATTATTTATGAAGCCATTATCAGTTTTATTCGACCTAGATAAAGTATAATTTATATAAATGGAATGATTACTAGCTCGATGCGTGTCCTCGCATCATGCCAAATCTCGACATATCGTAACTAAGTTTATATGTGTATAATAGTAGGTAGGTGCATACATATACATATGTACAGACACACACATGTGCGCACTAACGTAATGATATTATGGATAGCGAAATTATATATAACAGAATGAAGTAATAAGTAAATAAAGCCATACACTACTTATATACAAACATATTTAGAACATGTGCGAGTGTGTTTCGCGGCCGAGAGTTCCATGTCACCAAAAATTATCTAATTTATGTAATTAGATAGATAAAAACAGATTAACATATTTACGCAAGCACAATACTCATTTTATGGAACGTAAAAATAACTGTATTTCATAGAAATTCTTAAAATTTAGTATGAAAATTAATGTTGCGGCCATTCAACTAACAAATCGTGTTAAAGAAAATATTCCTTATCTCAAAGTCCAGTAATAGTCCAATTGGAATCCGGTTTGGGAACAAAATATTGAAAACCTGAAGTTTTATGATTTTATATAAGGAATAGGATTCGTAAAATGCCCCACATGCCGAGCTACACCCGAGAAATGGGGGGCGCAAAGCGTTGAAAAATAGTTTTTTTCAATTTCCGGCTTACTGTGACGTTCTATCGAAAAATAATTTTTACAAAAGTTATAGGTCTAGTAAAAATCTTTCTTTTCTCTTAAAAATAAACGGATTCCGATTGATCTATACTCTATAGCATATCTTAATTAAATTTAAAAATCTTCCTCTAAGGATTTTGAAGGCAGTGCACTTTTCTTAGTAAAATGTAATTATCTACGAGTATTTTTATTTTTATACCATTGTAGAAAGATTCATGTGGGAAGGTTTCCACCTTTCAAATATTAGTCTCCGAGTAAAGCGAATGTGATATACGGACTAACGGACATGATCAAACTATGGGTTCCGTATTGGCTTTTCGGCTACAGAACTCTAATTAAACATCGGTAAATAAATGTGGAGCTTGGATTTTTTTTTGACTACAAATTTAAAGCAATAAATTTTCTAAAGCATTCGATTTTACTAAAACTAATAAGTGTTTTTCTGTTCAAAGACGAAACGATGAGGCGTTGTTAAATGTAAAGTTGTAAGTTACTTGAGTACTTACAGCACGCGCAGCGCCGGTGTGTTGACGAAGGCGCGCTCGTCGATGTGCGTGATGCGGTTCCGTTTCAGGATCCTGCCAATAATCATACAACTTACTTTTAATTGTTATAGCAAAAACTGCGAAAGAAATATTTTTGACATACATCAATCGATAATTTATTCAAAGAAGGAAAGCGAGACTACCAATTCCTACGATTGCCATGAATTGATTTTTACGATGCGAGGGATGTCGCTCTCGTTTGCCTTTTACGGCTGGTCTCCACACTGCGTCAAGCGTCCGTCGACATCAGTAATTCGGCAGTTCCCTCAATAAGCACAGACGTATGTAAGTAAGTGAGAGACAGAGGACGAGAGAAACTCTCTAATATTATGGTAATGCGATAACAATAACGCAAGCGCGGACTCCCAAGAGCGCCGGGATTGTTAAGTAAAATGTCTTCTACTTTTTCCATGTGTCTAATTTCTATACAATTTCTGCCATTGTTTATCAAGTAGGTTTTATTAAATACGCCTCATTTACGAAAAAAAAATATAGATTGAAACTAAATGTTTAATAGTAGGTACGAATAAATTAAGCTTATTGCTAATAGCATAAAATTTCAAGTCAGAAGAATTTTACAAAGTGAGGTCATTCAATCTCGCTTCGGTCGTTCGGACGACCGTAACGATAATGTAATAAAATATACTAATATGAACTTTAAAAGCTTTTTTAAATATGTTGTTACGATAAGATATTCCGTATTGAATGTGCATTTTTAACGGACTTCAAAAAAGGGGGAGGTTGTATGTAGCGTCACACACATTATATTATTGTGCTATATTTTTCTAATTTTAAAAATTTTAGGTAGGTGGAGAAAGCACGGACCTTTACGTTAGAATTCGGTCTTTCGGTGGGTTCAGTGTTTGTCTACAGCCAGACCAGCCAGTCACAGATAACTTAAAATTACGTACAATGTTCATAATTCCTTGCTAATATAATAATAATTAAGTTGGGACATTAACACACAACACCATCTAGTTCCAGGGCAAGCTACGAGGCCTGCTTATGGATACCAGATAATTGATACACTACACATATATAACTTTACATACATATTACAAATATAAACACTCATGACTAAAGTACAAACATTCATGCACACAAATGAATGCCTCCAGTGGGACACGAACCCGCGACCGCTGGCACAGCAAGTAGGTACAAGCTGAGCCAAATATGTCGTCTTATGTTTTTATCAATGAAGACTGGGTCATTCACATGAAACACTTTGCCATAACGGTTCCGAAATTATGAATTTAAATATAACTTCAATTCATTTTTTACATTCCCTTCTTTCTTGTACACCTATTCATATAAATATTAATGTCCATATATATTTGTAACCATATTTTATAACAATAACAATGAGTAGCTTCTTAGAAATTAAACGCAGTTCAACAAGCTGACCAGTGACCAGTCATCGCGCCGTCGCTCGTCGAAGCGAAGCTGATATGTTGCATACTTTATTGCGACGCGCGAGATTGTTATTACAGATCGGACACTTAAACTCAACGAGAGCACTCTATAAAAGTATATAGAAAGAAATTTCAGAAAAAGTTGTCTCGAATCTTTCGTTTATTATCGTGCAGGAGATGAGCGAAGTGTAGGAGTGAGGGCGAGAAGGGTGAAGGGTGAGTGCGAGAGCGTCATAAATCAGAACGCAACGCCTCATCGACGCGCTGAGAAGGGTTGCTGCCACGGACATAGAACTGAAGCGAACCGGTGGCTCTTCACATTAAAATAGTATCAACTACCACCTACAGGATGAACGATCTATTATATAAAAAGAAAATTAAATCGAAAAGTCCTTTACGAATTTGTTATATTACTTAAATATGACCTTTTAAAAATAACATTTTTCTTTATTTTTCAACTGACTTCTTTAAAAGGAGGAGGTTCTCAATTCGGCTGTATGTTTTTTTAATGTTTGTTACCTCAGAACTCCGTCATTTATTAATCGATTTGGACAAATTTTGTTTTCTTTGAAAGTGTATAACCTAATTTTAAAGAATTATTTAAAGTAAGGGAAAATTAAATAATGGATAAACATATAGTTTCTTAAAAAATATATAAAATTCAATGATATTCTTGTATTTCTGGGTCAATAACAGGTACTACATTGTGATAGCACGATCTTTGATAATAATTATGTATAGTCTGTTCACAGATGGCGCTCAATATAATTAAAAAGTTGATAAATAAAATAATTAAATTATTTTATTTTACTTTGATACCGATATATTATATTATTTCGTTATTTCTCTTATATATTATCCATTTTAGGACAAAAAAAATTGCGCGCTGTGTGAGCGAAGCGCGTATTTTCAAAGTCAAATATTTGTATGGAATGCACTATCTGTACTAGTATATTATATGATCTGTGATTATATATACCTAATCAAATATATTCGAAGTCGGTTTGCTTTGCCCATTGTGGTGCCCACCGATACAAATTAAAGCACACCGACTTCGAAAATATCAACAAAATTGCTCTGCTAATGAAAATAAATACGGTTCTTAAGATAAATTGGTCGTACAAATTTGAGTCTCGGAAGAGACAACAATTGAGAGAAGGTCATTTACTTTTAATTATAAAAATATATGATTAAGTGTTGTATCTTTATGATACTGTGACCTATTCCAGCGTAACTACATCACAAGAGACGTGCCGAAGGGCGGCCGCGGACGGGCGTCGACCCGGACGGACGGAGACGGGCGCACGCTGCACGCTGTCCGACGGATTCGTTGCGTGAATGAATTTTTATCACTGCACTTCTCTGTTGTCAGTGACGTTGAGATGTCCTTGTTCGTAGCATGAGTTGCTTTGATTGTCCGGATATAAATTGAAATTTAAAAGCGGATTGCAAATTGCATGTTCCATAAAAAGTGTCATTACGTACGTAACTTAAGAGTAAAAACGTGTTCTTCTTCGGTGTACATTTATTTGTATTTATAAAATTTCATACATGAAAGTTCATCACATTAATTTTATTTGCTTTCATTATAATAATCTCATAAATAGCATTTAGAAATTTTCTGCATATGACGGGACCCGCAGCGGCTGCTCGGCCGCGGGCGGTTGCGGAACGCCTCATTAAAACGCGACCTCGTGGCTCTACCGTAATCAATTTTATCAAATGCCACAACTTATTAGAGGAGAGTCTTTTTACAATAGGTCCTTTCTGTGTTTGACTTTATGTTCATTTGACTTCAACATTATTTATTATTATTTTGTAGGTTTAATATTTGCTATAGAGAAGATATTTGTGCTCTGATCTTATGCAATACATCCCCCTCGTACTGAAGGGAGGCCCGGCGGCGCCCAGCAGTGGGACGTTAACAAAAGGGCTCAACACATTATGCAATACAAGCAGGATCACTGCTACTTATATTTGGATGGAACATATAAAACACTGAACATTAACTCTTGTGTCAGTTTGTTATAACGAAAGTCCGCGACGCTGAGAACGGTCAATAAAGTTTAAAAGCTTTTGCAGCAATAACCGGAGACAGACGTAAAGTGTTGTTGAACGTAGTTTACGTGACGTAACCGCCGCTTATCGCGGTTTGTCGCAAATATTAAGCTCCTAAAATGGTAGGGTTGTAGATTACTTATATAATTTTTGTGACCTTTAAAATATTTTATTTTAAATGTTCAGATATAATGACGGATAATGTTTGATATATTCCGCGTTTACGCTTCTATGTATAGAGTATTTTTACCGTTTACCCATTTAAGTATAAATATGAAAATTGTAAATGCACCATAACAACATTATGATGGTATTGTACATGAAATTTAAGTATAAAAGTAAAATGTTAGAGATAGAACTAAGTAAGTAAGTAAGTAAGTATATGTAATAGAAATAAGGAATATGTAATAAGTTATAAAAATAATAAATACTAGTAATAATAAGATAAATCATAAGAAAAATGTAAAAATACTGTAAATCTAAAGTACAAATAGAAAGTAAGACGTTGTATGTAGAATACCGTCAAATACAATGTACTCCCACATCGGAGGTGTGTCAGTATAAAAAAAAAAACATTGTTGTTAAAACTTATAAACTAATTAATAATAGCCAAAAAGTTCTGTATATTGCTTTGGTTATTACTATTGAGTACTACTAAGAACATCTTATTTTACTTTTATTATTTCACTTTATATAATTTATTGGGCAAGAAAACTGTAATCCACAATTTTTTTGGTTTAGTTAAACTGTGTAAGAAGCTCCGAATGTTTTTGAGATTAAGGTTATGTTCATATTTTATGCAAGAACAACAGTTTATTGCGTAGGGTTTGTAACAAATTATGCCAATTTCCTCAAAAACTAACTTTAAGCGTTTCGAATGATACTACACACAACAATAGTCACGACTATTGTCTACGTGGCCTTCGTATTATAATAACGATCACGTCGGGTGTATCATCTTACTATGTGCTTCTAATGTTTATTTTAGAATTCTTGGATTATTTAGAAGAAGCCTGCTAGAGCCTTAGAATGATGCTTAAGTGTCTTATATACATACTACTCGTATGTGAGAACTGATTATATTAGAGTAATCCTATTACTCCTAATATGTTAGGTGATGTTGCTGATGAGGCTCGGTACTTACTGACGGGGCATAATTAGATTACATTCTTTCGCTCCCAAGTTTCGTGCAAACGTTGAGTGGCTAGATTTTTTTAGCTTAATGAATAGAAGTAGGTAAATGGTTAATTTCGATTTTCGATACTTCGAGTCTGAATATAACATTACTTTTCAACCGACTTTCTCAAAAAGGAGTAGGTTCTCAATTCGGCTGTATTTTTTTTTACCTCAGAACTCCGTCATTTATTAACCGATTTGGACAATTTTTGTTTTGTTTGAAAGCGTATACTTCAAGATTGGTCCCATTTAAATTTCAAAAAAAAAATACCACCTCTAAGGGTGGAAAAATAGCTAATGATGAATTTAACCTACTTCTAATTGTCAACTTTGCAAGTGTTTCTATATCCGTTGATAGTACAGTGGTTCGGTATTGTTGACAAACTCTTCAACGGCTAATAATACATACTTATTTTTCGGTGCCAGCCGATACAAAGCAAAGCACACCGACTTCGAAAATATTTGATTAGGTATGTATAGTAAATGAAAACTACCAATCAGTTATTTTTTACTTTTTAGTGCTTTTGTTTGAAGTCGATTTTTATTTTTTTGTTAAAAAGTTTTTTTTATATCAAGATCTACTACTTAGACTACATAGTATTATTAATTCTTATACGAATAAATTATTTTACCATTCGATGTATTTAATAGAGTAAAAATTTGTCCGTTACAGTATATATTTTGGTTATATATTTACTTTACGTTGGGATTTGCCAAAAATATGTATTTATATATTTATGCTTATGAGTTAACCACGGCAAGGTGAACACACACCGGTAGGGAAAATAAATGCTTTATATTAAACTAGTGCCCGCTCTCGGTTCGCACGATGATGCGCGGGCACTAGTTTAATTGATATAAAGTATTTATTTTCATTATAAAAGAAGTTTCACTTTAAATATATATATATATATATATATATATATATATATATATATATATATATATATATATATATATATATATATATATATATATATATATATATATATATAACTTTAGATTGTCATAGTCAGGTACGAAAGTTGTGGGTACAACGACAACGTTGACAAAGAGGTGTGGGAGCGGTGCGGCGCCTAAAGACGTCACGTTGTGACCGGCCGCAGGAGCCGTGGCGTGCGGAGGCTGACCGTCGCCGGTCTCGTCGCGCCCCATTCATTAGCTCTCGACGTCTCTCCGGTCGGCACACTTCACAAACAGTGTCGCCTCGTTCATCACCAGTTATTTTTACTACATCCTCACCGATACGTATTATTTATAACCGCGATGCGTAGAAAGCGACGGCTTAATGAATGAACACATATTACTTTTATAAAAATAAATTGTAACTTTCTTGAGACTCACGTAAACGTTATTCATAATAAGTTGTCGACATGAATAAATAATGTTTACACTGTGTAAATTCATCGCTAAGATAAATCCGAGGCTATACATTGAGTTATAAGTAAAGACGTTATCATGTTACGATGAATTGTCGCTAGTCCCCGAGACCAGTCATTACACGGGATAGATAGGCGGATAGGCTGTTAATCGCTCCTCATCTAGGCAAACTAACCGCCTACTAATGCCTAGCACGAGTGGGTAATGACCAATAAAGTTTGATATTTCACTGTTTCAAGATTATAAGTCGGAGATTATGAAGGATTATTATAATATTATAAGCCCTAAGAAGTGTTATAGTGTAACATAGATAAGCGCTGTGTCTGTTATCTGTACCATCACGAGTGATATTATGATTAAGATATTATATTAAAAAATTAAGAGTACATTAGTATTTTAGTATACACTATTGTGATTCCCTTAAGTGAAGATAAATCGTAAGGAATTTGAATAAATAACGGGAAGGTCATTCTTTTCTCTCCATACATTGTAGAGACGACGTCGATTATTCGCTTCTATTCATTTCGAGTGAGCAATGAAATATAATGTGTTGTTATGAGCAGTTGTAAACACGTCTATTATAACGCTACATTTTTACTAAGCCGGTACGTGTATGTAGGACACGCAGCCTACATTTAGGTAACACATGACACAATGTACGAGTGCGCGAGTATAAGCGCCGCTCTCGTCGCCAGATCACCTTCGCAGCAGCCTCGCGCCGGCACGACTCGCCTGAGGACCTCTTCTCCTCCCCCTGCCCTCCCTTCCTCCTCCTGCCCTCCGCTCTCTCGCGAGCTGCGCTGCGTTCGCGGTGTAACGTACGCGTAATTATTATCATTATCATTATGCCAATTTATATAAGTGATATGTTCTCGTTATAATTAAAAAGGCTTTTATTTTCATAATAAGCGCTGCAGATGTCACTGGCCACTAGTGTTGTTGAAAGCGAGCCACTAAAGAATATATAATTTGTAGTATGTAATAAGTATAATTGTCGTTGTACAGACAGTTCTACAGAGATCCAAGGTTAACAAATACATAGATTGTTAGAAGCTTTCTATCCAGTGTATCATAAAAAATAAAAAAAATGTGATAGTAAAAGTGACACCCAGACCATCAATGGTCGGATGGTTGGATTAGGTAAATAATTAGTTTTTAATCGTAATAAAAAGCATGTTGGAGTTACTCATTACTCTATATTGAATTTACTTGAAATTGAGTACTAATTGGATTAGGTATTTGTAATATAGTGTGTATTGCGTGACCTCAGCATAGGCTAAGAACATAACAGAATGCGGAAACAGCTGCGAAAAATGCATTTAGGAGACAAAGCATGCGTTAGAATATGTATGTCAACGTCGTGCCACTTCTGATGCGTATAAGAGTTGTATCTCAACTATATATGTATATTAAGTATAATTAAAAAGTACTTTGAACAAATTAAACAACGTCGTACACCACTTTATCACACAATAATTAATCGATAGTCGCTTTAGGAGCCGTACTTTTATAAATTAGAAAAGAAAATATATAAGCTTAATTGCAATGCACTATATAATTAACTTAACCTGTATTAGACTTATTTTATCCGTCGTAAGTCATACTCTCCGTAATTTTAAATGTAACTAACATTTTAACTTGCTCTTCGACCCTATTTTCTTGTTATATAACACTGTAAATACTTATAATATAGAGTCATTGATAGATTGTACGACAAATATATATGTTCTTACTGAAATATACACAAAAGACATGTCATGTTTGTAAAAGTTTTTTATTTTTATTACAAATGTATTTGACATGAGAATAAAATACGACTCTAAAACTCTTGTTTATATTGCCTGATTTTTAACATTGGGAAATGCATTTAGGCGTACGACCTGCATACATACAGGTGGTTATGTGGGACTCACCGGCAAAGTCAGCACTATCCACCAAAAACCCAACGGCACCTCCCTCGTCTTAATGGGGCATCGCTGGATAGATTACGCACTTAATCATGACACCCCGACGGCAGGTCTGCCGAAACAGACCACAACAACTATGGGGTTGTTCCAGGAGTCCACTCTGCTGTCCGAGCAGTATCAGTAGCAACCTGCATAGCACGTCGCCCACCGAAGTGGGCCATCTCCCAGTGCGTTTCTTGGCTTCGCGCCCGGTTGGACTGCCAGACGCTAATGAACTCCCCCCCACCCCAACACGACAACGCTTGAAACGCACGTTAGGGGGGTGTGCGTAATGATGAGTAAAATTTCAGTTTAAGGTAGTTTGATATTTGACCATTAGTTTGAGTTAGATTTTTCAGAACTTTTCATAGGTGTCAGTCAATAAATGATATCTCTTGCATGCTTATGTCCGGTACAAAGTAAGTTATTTCTCAAATACTTGCTAGTATCATAATATAATTGAAATTGTTTGAAATATAAATTGTAGAACATAGAAATAAAAATAAGTTAACTCAATTACGCCCTATTTCTATCTTTATACTAGTAAATAATAACATAAACTCACAAAGTGTGCAGCGAGGACAGTGCGGGCAGCGAAGTGGATGTCAGCTCGCTGATCTCGTTGCTCGCCAGGTTGCTGCAAAAACCAACAAGTGCTTGGTACTCGGGCTTTTTACTAAATCTAATATATTTAAACGAGCAATTCTTGTATATATATATATATCAATATATAATCTGAATCTTGTAAACGGCTCCAACGATTTTCATGAAATTTAGTATACAAGGGGTTTCGGGGGCGATAAATCGATCCAGATTAGTCTTATGTCTGGGAAAACGCGTGTTTTCAAATTTTCATGCGGTTTTCTTTTGCATTATTCCACGCAAAATATTATTTTCGATAATTTCGCACGCTCGGATATGAGCATCGTGGTCAAGCGGCCAAGGCGAAAGATTGAATATGTGTCCGGGTTCGAATCCCGGTCGGATATAAAAGGTATAGTTTTTTTTTGTTTTTTTTTGTATTTATTCAAGTTTTTAGTTTTTTTTTAAACAAAATTGTACTTTTTAACCAAAAACTCCGAGCGAAGCTCGGTGGCCAAGGTGCTATTATTAAAAATAACAGTCTCAATTGATTTTTCAGAAATAATTTTAAGGAGCATCTACCTACAATCTATATACAGTATTTGCCAATTGCTACTTCTACTTCGGTTTGATATAATTACTCTGTCGTTTTGACTGTCAAGATAGTTTATACATGAAATAGATTAGTTTTGATTTAATAATGATGGATTTTGTAACAAAACCCAGATATACTTATTTGAAATAGTCGGTCAATTACCACACACGAAATCTGTTACAGCGGTCATCGTGTGCGGCCTGAACTTATAACATATTCCGCTAAGTGTGCTAACTGCTACGGTGCACTTATCAGAACACTCATGAAAAGCTATAAAGATTAAATTAAATTAGGTTATTCGAACAAACATTTCTCATAAGTATCACCGCCGACTGCGCGCGGCGGCGGGGGACCAGACACCTACTTACTTTTATATTTGTTAAATTTTAATTACCCACCCGATGAATTCATACACACGAGCTTTATAGTTCATAAAAAAGTCCAATGCTGACAGCGCAAATCGTCGACAACATTTAAATAAGTCAAAAAATAATTGACTCATTTGGGTCGGATGTAATATACTTAGTACAGGTGCGGAAATATTTACACAGTGACGTCTTAAAGCGAGTAATTTACGAGTTTTGTGCGGTAGTCTAGTCACCTAATGGCCGCGACGACGGCGCCGCGCGTGGGCGCCGCGGATTGTCGCTATCACTGTTCAGTGCGTTACAACCTCAAATCAGATACACAGATAAACAGTTATATCATCAAAAATCTACAATTCTGCATTAGAGTAACCTATTTAGATTATGATTTAGACGCACCAAAAAACATGTCCACAGGAATATAACGGTTATTTTAATGTAAAAGACTTTTTATAGTGTCTCATAAATAATATTATAGATACCTTAAGTACCTTCATGAAGATTACAATTTAAAAGAATAATATATACATACATATATGTATGTGTATATTATATTTGCCATTTCAAAGGGTAACTAGTATTCTGTACTTAAAACAATGTAAAATAAAATAGCTCCTACACTACGTATTGCCGGTTCTTCTCATCAGAATTGCATTTCGAGCCTGTGTTAGTTTCTTCTCGGACCGCGTACGCTGGACATTGACAATGAGTAACATACGAGTGTGTATGCGTAACTGAAGTGCAGGGAGGGTCTACTCACAGTGCCTGCAGGCGCGGCGTGTGCGCGAGGGCGGCGGTGGGCGGCGCGCGCAGGCGGTTGCGCGCTAGGCGCAGCACGCGCAGCGCGCGCGTCTCCGCCAGCGTCGCCGCCGGCACCTCCCTCACCTCGTTGTCTTCCACTGACCTGATTGCACATCAACATTTTTAAGCCTGTTCCTATACTTAAAAGAAGTATACGTGTGTTATCATATTCGTGTCAATGTCATTCATTCATTCTCCATTGAAATCAAATATTATGTAGTATGTTATATGGAAAATGCTACAGTCAGACGCTCGTTTAGCGCATGACCTATTTTTCATACAAATCCCTACAATACTTTGCAAAGCCGGTGGCTGCGTGTGTCTGTTGACGACATAAGTAGCGCCATTCATAACATTTAACGTGGCGTCGCGTCGTGTAAGAACATTGCTTTAAGCGGGACGAATACTTTTATTGATTCCTAGCACTTACTCGCACGCTTTACTTCTAAACTTGGAATTAATTTGGCAGCGGGCCTTGAGTCGATCGACGTGCGTGTATCCGGCGACCTCCCTTCTATCATCAGAATTGCATCCGCGTCGCGTCGTTGCGAAATTTTCGCAAGTGGCGTGTGAAAGCTTCGTGGCGGATTCGCACGCACACAGGCAAAAAGAGGCGCGCGAGTGCTTGCGGTTAATGATATCGAGTAATAAGTTTTATTTATAGGCGATTGCCTAGCGCGGCCTCGCGACGCGCGCCGCTAGCGGAAGGTCACACATAACACATGCGGTCCTAAAGATGTGTCAACTCGAGTTAACTCGAGTTAGAGAAAATAAAAAAAAATGAAATAATCTGGGTTAGTTCTATTTCTCTTCTTATATCTATATATGAATCGAAATATATATGAATCGAAATATATATGAATCGAAATATATGTCATTCGACCTCTACAGTTTTATTATATGTATAGATATAAGATACAGATATAATTTATGGCAATATTGCTTCAATAATTTCAAATATGAAAACGTTAGGTTTAGAGAGCTGAGTACGCTTCTTATGCTAGGGATCACGTGTTCGAATCTTGTTTGATTGAGAGAGATGAGAGATCATGATCAGGTGTTTCTTGTGTGATTCGCAGACTCTCGATTCATTACGTCATCGAGCAGGTCCGCAGCAGTGTTATTTTACACTATAATATAATAAAGAGGTACGTACACTTGTTATTTTCTATTTAGATGACAATATCTGTAAAGGAAATCTAGTTTATTATATCTGATAAAACTTAAATCTCGTTTAATTATTATGTAATGTACCTATATATAAAATACTATTGCGAAATCCCTGTGACACAAGCAAGAAGGTGCACACTGCACAGTAGCCACACTACAATTTACAAAGGTTATAGAGAGCTTTATGCATTTTATGAATATGTGTGCTCTAGATAACGAACCACCGAGAACTCGCATACATTTTTAGTTTTGTATTTATAATACGAATATCATACGAGAATTTAATGCATTCACTAAAGTAGGTACACACTAAAATATGCAAGCAAAATATTTTAATAAATTTAATTTGTGACATTTTCATGTTTCATCGGTTAACGTCACTTTATTTATTTGCACCGGGTTTTAAAGACTATGTGTGTATAATGTATGAGAGCACAGAAGCCCGGTCCGGCTTACGAGATACAAAGTGAGCGCGAATGTTCCGGCCGCGGGCGCTGGGTTTTTTAAGTACGATGATTTGTTACATGTATTATATTGTTGTAATAAATTTTCTCGATATATGATGTTAGTCTAAATTCAGAGTATTATTGTACATGTAAGGTATAAGCTTATTAAAAATTCAGTAATAGTAATTTTGAGAAAAAATAAATCTTATTAAAAATGGGAGATGCTAAAGTAATTTCAAAATAGCTTTCAACTAAAACAAAGAAAATAAATAACCCTATATCTTACATCTGTCTCGTACTTTTTTTTTTTTAGGAATAAAATGCACCGACATGCATAATTGTATTATTTCAGGAAACAAGAACATTAATTGTTTCGGAGTTAATAAATCAGCTGTGGTCTGTAACAGCTTCTCGCGTAATTATCGGAGGGCAATATATATTATAGTACTCGTATTAGTGGAGCTTACCGGCCCCGCCTTCGAGCCGAGCCGAGCCGCGAACCTACGTATGCTAGATGAAGTGCCAAATTTATAAATTGTTGCTAATTAGTCACTCAATGATTGCCACATACTCGTATATGCAATAAATTAAGCATAAATTTTATTTCACTTAATTTAAAGAGACTAACACAAGGTCTTTTAAATTACCAATTTTTCATTTACTAAATGAACTTTGTCAGTCCGCAAGGAAGCTACTACTGATTCGGAATGCGATGAGACTGATGAGAAGAGTCGGCGAGAAGTTCGATGTTTGCTTATTTTAATTGTTCCCAAGTACATATTATAGAATTTAGAATTACTTAAAATCTTATACCCAATGATACTTTAATTATAGTTACCTATTTGAACTGTAAACAATGTCAAGCGTTACGGTCTCTGGATATAGTCTCTTTCGCATTCAATATCATCATTCTCTTCATAACTACTTTCAAAAATCTTTTGAAGCTTTCCTACTTTGCCTCTCATTTAGCCGCCTAATTTAATTTTGTTAAATATATTTTTTTGTATATTTTATAACCTTCCGTCAAATATGAATCAGTTTTTATGGTTCTATTTTATTAAACAGTATGTATCGGTAGTTTTGTGCCGTGTTAAGTAGATGAAGATCTGATAAAGACTTGGATTTGAAAAAGATTTTAATATAAGCATATTATTACTTAATAGTAATCTCACGTACAACCTTACTCGTAGAAACACAATATGTCACAATATGTGTATATGTCATAAAGTTACTTGATTGATTTTGTTATAGGATTTTTCTAATTATGATGGTATTGACCCAAAAGAGCTGATACACATTATACTACTGTAATATTTGTACATAACGTATCGATTTTAAGAGATATCTGATTAATCGAGTATATAATAAGTTTAATACTTATTTTTTTTTGTTAATTATTTTTATTTGGAGTCGGTTATATTTTGTTATTTTAGGCCACTCGGATTCAGAACTTGGTGAGATTTGTAACTCTAAATTAATTTCTCTGATAGTAGTGATTGTAACTTCTGCACTTTTCAATACTCAGTAAGTCCAATTACAAAACTTACGCCACGCTAGTAATCCATACTTCCATACAAATATTATAAATGCAAAAGTAACTCTGTTTGTTTATTAGTTTGTTGCCTTTTCACAACTGGCTGACCCGATTTAGATGAAAATTGGTATGGAGACAGTTTGAGACCCTGGGAAGGGCATAGGATAGTTTATAGCCCAGAAATCATGCCTAAGGGAGGTGAAAAGGGTGGTAGGAATTTGCATGGGGAATCAATCATTTCGCAACACAAAACGAACCCGAGCGAACCGAGGGGAGTCGCTAGGAATTGAATGAACAAAATAAATAAGGTATCTGTTTTTATAAACTTAAGAAAAATCTATTGTATTGTATAAATCTTTGAAGATAATTGATACATGAGCTGCTTGTGTAATGTATCTACTAGCATATCTATACGTGTATAACTCATAGTATTATTGTGTTTTAGTTAAACGCGTAGTTTGTGATGGGACTATTTCAGGAAATACCGTACGACGCCATGCACTCTGCGTCACGCTCCTTACAAGGGGCCGTCCTTTCAAAGGCTCATTTATTCCATAATAGTTGCATATAAATGTAAGGAAACCTCTTAAGAGCTCACACATCGAGCAACCCGGATGGACATGTCAAGTTTCCGGTAACTTGGTACTTAAGTCGATTTCCATTTTAAAATTGCTGTGACTAAAAAGTTGCTAAAAGAAATTTATTTGCGACACACAATGCTAACAAAATAAATAAAAATACTACTTTACGATACATTGACAAAAAAAAAGAAAGTTTTAATGGTTGTTTCTCATAACGAAAATATTCTAATTTTGTGTTATTTAATGTTATTAAGTGTTCCTGTCTTTTGTACTTTAACGACGCAAATAGTTCAAAATACCTATAAAGTTGTCAATTTTTCAATCGCACTGTATTTTAAGAGAATATGATTTTGCTAATTTAATAAAGCGGTGATGTGTCGGCCGACGGCGCGCTTGGCGCTGGAGGAAGTGAGAGCAAACATCGTGCCCCATGTTTGTCATTACTCGGCAGACACTAATAGTTGTCAGCGTCAGTGCGGAGATTTAATACTTTGTTTGGCATTCTTGTTGACTGTCAGAGCGCGCACTGCGGCCCATTAATTAATTTCATATTTTTATTTTAGAATAACACTACAGAGAGCGGCGAGTCGCGACCTCTGCTCTCGGCAGATATCTACTGATCCACTACTATACACGTACAGCTTAGAATATAGAAGAACATAGACGTAGCAGAAGGTAAACGGGCTTGCGAGTTAACGACCTCTATGACTTGACACATGCGTTGAAGCATTTTTTCTCGACCCCGTCGGGACTCGAGACGGGTTGTGAACTACAAGATTATACCGACCGTGTAGTTGAGAATACCGTCTGCGTCGCTCTTCTTCGCCGACTTCTAATGTCCAATAACGCTTAAACTAACGTAACAACTTAAACTAATAAATCGCAAAAGATAATAAAAACAAATTGGAGCTATGCAGAAGTAAACGATAAAACCATGTTGAAACAAAAACACACATTTCCAAATATAATATGTACATACGTATGAAACATAAAACATAGGAAGATGAAAAATAGCTCGTAATGTTTGCGCCAGAAAAGTTTTCGTTAGAACCTTATGTTTATTTCATTATGAATACATATTTGATAAAATATTTTCTTTATTATTGATTCGGTTTCCAGAAAAAAAAACCTGTTATTTAATTCTTTAAAAATAGGTCTAGTTTATTTCCCCTAACGTTCGTACGCCATACAACAACGCGCGGCGATACTTACCTGAACATTTGTTTCATTCTCACCGTTATTTCCTTCATTTCTCGAATTACCTAAATCGTTAAATGTAGAAATGGGTTTTATAGATTTATAACGAATTCAAAAATAAATTGGTAGATACTTTTTGTAAGAAGATATTGTTATCCCGTTTTGAACGGGAAATTGTGGCGGGTTTGTTCAATAGAGCGGAGCTAATTTGAATGATATTAAGGCACACGTCGAGCGGCGGCGCGGCGGTGACGGAGCAATATCGAGGATTTGCATCGCTAAAAAAACTGTCCGCACATTGCCTACATGAATAATTTATATTCGACCTATCAAAGTGTGTAATGTATGACAAAGGGGCAAATGCGAACATGACTGGATCGTTAGCTTGTGAAATCGGGTTAATACGTTTTAAGCTTAGTGTCCTCATTGTGTCGAGTAGGTCTGAGATATGAACATAGTGAGAAAAACTCACAGGTAATGCAGTCGAGGAAGGTGCATGGGAGGGAGCAGTGTGAGCGCGCACCGGTCCAGCCACAGCCGCCCGAGCGATGCGCTGCTCAATGCGCCCGCAGACACTGACTCCAAGCGATTCGCCGACAGGTTCCTGCGCAGAATCACGTGAACATGAAACATCATTCACAATTCACAAGGTCGATCATAGTGTGAATCCGACCTTGGTTAGTCAAATTTAAGCTGCAGTCAGTGTGAGTTAACTTTACCTATCGTGTAACCTTAATGGTTGTTGTGTGTAAACTGTAACGAGGAAGTTGGTGAAACTAGTGTCTTGTGATTTTTGTCGAGGCATCTCAACATAACGCAATTGTTGTGTCAGGTGATTGTTGAGAAACTTCGGCTCAGTTAACCTTACCCATAAAATGAGAGCCGATACAAAGCAAAGCACACCGACTTCAAAAATATTTGATTAGGTATGTATAGTAAATGAAAACTACCAATCAGTTATTTTTTACTTTTTAGTGCTTTTGTTTGAAGTCGGTTTCTTTTAAGTTTTTTGTAAGACACCAAATACGATACAACCACTATAAATATAAAGTTTCAAATATTGAACATTTATTTTTATTTTAAGATTACACCACAATAGAACATATATTACATATCGCAGTTCAGTTTATTCAAACTTATTTACAAATTGCAAGATATTCAAATGATATCCATATTCACTGCAATTGATGTAGGTCAGCCGACATCAAGGGTATTAAAAACTTTACAGCACCTTTCATGATAGATTTCTATTGATATCGACATAAAATTCGGTCGTACTCAATGGATTCTAAGAATGGATCGTTGGAATTTAAATTAATTTAAACTTTGTCTTAAAATGTCAGAAATTTTATAATGCACATTTGTTTTATTAGCCATATACATATATATATATAAGTATTTCGAGAGTGTTGACGCACAGTACGACTGGTTCATACTGTATTAGGTACGCATATATGTATATTCTAGGTGTATTGCGAGGAAGGACAGGTCGCACCTGTTAATCAAAAAATCTCATTTATGAGTTGTGCACTTATGATGTTTATTACTTGAATATAAATACTTATACTATACTGTATCGGATATGAGTATATCTCTCTTTGGGTCTGAATAAGGTTTACATCACCTGTACAAGCTCGATGCAAAGTTGGTTATATGGTTGGTAGGCTGATACTTGATAGTTTAGTACTTACAAATCGCGCAGGCCGGCGGCGGGCTGCAGCGCGTCGGGCGGCAGCGAGGTGATGTTGTTGTTGGACACGTCCCTGCAACCACCAGAGCGATCATTAATTGGCTGTCTCCAACGTGCCATACATTACCACACTATGTGCCATATATTATTTATTAACAACAAGTGTTTATGTAACTGTAATAATTAATTTATCTTCGGTGCCAATAAAATTGATATATAATTTGAGTTTTAGATTATTCGCATAGTGTTAAAGAGCTTCCTTTGCCTTCCAGTGATTTCATTGAATGATTAATAGTAATAGCGATAGTCGGACGTTATCTCAAGCCTTCGAGCGACTTGTCTTTTTTTACTGCGAAGATAGTTTTCAAACTAGGACGGGCCGGTATAAAGTGCGGCACGAGACACGACTTCCGGCGACGCGGACATTCGCTAGCCGCGGCCGTGTTGATGCTTCGATTGGAGTACTGTAGTCGTAGAGTAGTGAGGTGAGAACGTAAATGTCGCGATTACCTATACTTTTTAAAATTAGTTTATATAATTTTGAATACTTTTCATAATTTACTATTAGTTTCCTAATTAGTATTTAACATCCTTACGTGAAATACGCATTCGTTTAAAGATTTCGAAGAAAATTGGTTCATTTCACAATTTTCATGTTTAGATCTTATTAAAATTTTAAATTATTAGTAAAAAAACTATTTTTATGACATTAATTTTGCTAAGAATTTCACGTTATAACTATTTTATTATATTACATACATACTGTTCCTCTATTTTTAACCGTATTAACTTGTTGAAACTAAAATAATAAAGTGAACTACTACGGTATGATTTTTGGGTGCACAAAAAAACGGGACACGAAAGAAAAGCTTGATATCTTCAATATTTACAAGGTACCTACTTGTTTTCCATTTCCTGACAGTTTTTTGCACGACACGATGATTTCACGTTGCTAATATAATGTGCATGTCATTTAAATTTGGATCAAATATTTTTATACCGAATCTTTTTTGTTAAATAAAAGTGCAAAATAAGCGAGGGAAATTCAAATTTGTAAAACGCAATACTATTGTATAAAGAGAAACGTGACGTCAAATACTGTGTCTAGGGATGTTAATGTAAAAAAAATCGGCTTTAGTTTTTTAGTGCTTTGGACTCCAGATCTAGGGCTTTTTTGTTTTTGTTTTATATTATAATTTATAGTTCAAGAAAAAAATAGTTAATTTAGCGCGAAGTTTAGCGTTTTTTGTGCGCTGAATGAATTTTTGGATCTGGAAACACTGCTGGACATAGTATTTGACGTCATCATATTTTAAATATTTTTTTAAACTTAATTACGTCATTTTAAACAGTATTTATATATTTTTTCCATGTTATAACAGTGTAAACAGTGAATTAAAAATATAAAAAAATACATGCATATTCCCTATTAGAGTCAATATGTACAAATTGTAAGATTTCTAGGTTTTCTGTAATTGTGAGATACAATATTTGCCCGAGACATTTTAATTTTACCACAGACCTTATCGATTAATGCGATAAAATAGTGACGTTGTACTTTTTACATTTTTAGGTGGTTCGATTACCGGTTCTATCAAGCTTTATGAAAAATATTTATAAATAGAAATAGAGTTATAAATATTCTTAAAAATAAAGAAATATTTCCTTTGAGTAAAACTCGATAACTCCAATATTTAATTAAGGTACTTTTCTTCCATGCCCCGTTCAATTATTCCATCCAAATTCCATACTAATCCATACTATAATAATATAAATGCGAAAGTTTGTGAGGATGGATGGATGTTTGTTACTCTTTCACGCCACAACGGCTGAACAGATTTGGATCAAATTTGGCACAGAGATAGATTACAGTCTTTAATAGGACAGAGATTACTTTTTATCCCGAAAAAATGTACGATTGCCGTGGAATCAATTTGTTTTTGTTTAGGGAACCAAAGCGGAGCGAGAGTGAATCGCTAGTCCTGTACTTATAGTAATATGAAATTAGTACCTATCGCGAAATTCGTATTGGTAGAGACGATGTACATAGTTCACTAATTCATCTATTTGTGTCGTGATTATCTAGTAAGTAGATACTTACGAGTATAGTTATGGAAATAAGCTTCAAAATGTCATTCATCATCCAAGTAAATTCGGCCTTATTATAAAATTACGTAGGCAAGTATCGTAGCGTCTCAAGCGCTAATGTAATTATATTATTAATGAACGAGCTGTCTAAAATTGTAATGGGGTAAGAAATATAACTGTTACCAGCATGTTTGTCGTCTGGTTCCTCAGGTGCGCATCTATGGAGACTGTCTAATACGAAGGTTATGTAAAAATTGGAAATAACCTAGTCAGCTTTTATCTCACTTACATTATGCGGGGGTCATTTCTAGTATTTTAGAACTAAACAGAAATGCTAAAAAGCACGGTCGATGCCGCGGGCAGTAGTTACTGTAAGTAAATAGAGGCGACGAAAATTTGTATCGTTAGAAAGAGGCATTTACATGGCATAGACGATAGACTACAGGTAATTACAATTTGCTGATAAGTTATCACAATCAATCTTAAAAAACCTGCGGTAAGAAATAAGCTTATTTGTAAGGTAGCGTAAGCTCTGAGCATGTCTACTTTTTTTAATGACTTTATAACAGTTGCAATAGTAACCCATGGCGTCTAAAATCTATAAAGTTCTTTAAAGAATAATTTTTTTTTAATTAATTATAATGTGATAAAGAAAATTCCAAGTGAAACAAAATTAAGAAATATATTACAATAATTGTAAAATAAACTGTAATATATTTAAACAGTTTAGTTCCACAATGGCTTTTAGTAAAACGTATAGAAAACAGAAGTTATAAATAAATCAAAACAATTTTGCAGGATAATCAGAACTTTATCCAAGTCAAATAAACCTTTTCCCATTTCTGTGTGACAAAATAATATAGTCCAATCTTTTATTAGTGTTTACATTCTGTGTGGGCGGGATTTATTTTGGTCTGTTTAGAGATGTAGATACATATTATGTATATTTGGTTGCGTGAGCGAAAGATAAACAATTTTAAATATTTTTTTTTTGTTTTATAGTAACCTGTAAAATTGCCAATATATTTCAAATAAATTTAATCTATACAAAATATAATAAAACAGAAGTCGAATTTATAGTTTTTAGAATTTTTGTCTGTCTGTCTGGGAACATATTACGAGAAAAGCACTGGACAGATTTTGATGAAATTAGGTATCATGGTAGCTGCTTATCAGGGTCAATATATAAGATACTTTTTACTGCGTGGAAATATGCCATCTCTGAGAAATCTACATTAACCGTTAAAACGTATCCAGGGACGAACCCGAGCCGAACGAGGGTGAGTCGCTAGTAATTAAATAAATATGTTAACATCGAAATTCTAACTCTAATCTCTTGATCTTAGTCTGACTTATGCAAAATAACGAAATCTTTAGTTTTCGCGATAAAAATGGGCATAATTTAATAGTTCATAGTACGGCCTTATTCTTATGAGTTTTTGTTCTGCAAAAGTGAAAGAGTTTCCCATATAGAACAACAATATTTCTTCTGACATAAACTCTGTTAATCACAGGCGGCAGCTGTGTGATGTGGATTAGCATAAATGTCACGCAATTTCGATTTATGATTTTTTCGCAGATATACGTATTTAATGTGACATGAGATACATGACCTTTTTATTTTATACATCACGGCCAAATCATAAATTTTTGCTTAAGGGATTGGACACAGGCAGACAGATAATGACTACAGTTACGTGAACACAACACATGAAAATGGGAATATATTAGGAATCCACCTTATGGCTACTATTTAAAATGACGTTGATGATCTTTTGATTTCACCATAGAATGCTGTTTATGTTCGGTTGCACGCGGCGGCAGTGGTGGGATGTTTAATGGGACTCTATAATCTACACAAATTAAAGCATTACAATTTCTTATTAGAATTAATTCCTTTACTAGATTAATTTAGAGATTTAGTTTTTATGATATATTGTTAACTGAATGTAATGTAGAGTTAGAACAGGTACTTAATTATAAGATACTAACGACGAGGTTATTGTAAAAAGCGTTATTTATAAAAGTTGTAGATTTTTACTAGACGTACAACTTTTGCAGAAAACATTTTTCGATAGAACGTCACAGTAGCCCAAAAGAAAATTGGAAAAAAAAAACTACTTTTCAACGCTTTGTGTCCCCCCATTTCTCGAGGGTAGCTGGGCAGAGGGCATTTTACGAATTTCTTGCTTTTTGCTTAACATTTTAAAATCATAAAACTTCAGGTTTTCAATATTTTGTTCCCAAACCGGATTCCGATTGTTTTTTTTTGATGATTTGAGGTAAACGCAAAAAATGATGGTGCATAAAAACTTTGGATTGTCTTCTTAAATATAAAAAAAATGGAAAGTGTACTTGAACATAATTATAGTTTATTTCTTATACTAGCATTGCCCGCGGCTCCGCTCGCGTTCAAATGACCAAAAACCAAATTCTTAGATTTTATAAGTATATTAGTGTACTCTTACATTGCATATCTTTTTGTATTTTTTCTCAGAAATGAGATATTTTCCCGCGGTAAAAAGTATTCTATATGTTGACCCGGATAACCAGCTACCACCATACCAAATTTCATCAAAATCTCTCCGGTGATTTTTCTGTGATGCGGTAGCAGACAGACAGACAGACAAAAATTCTAAAAACTATAGGTTCGGCCTCTGTATCATTTTCTGTACCATTGATTTTCCAAAAAATATTTAATGTACAGATTCGGCTTAGTTACAATTTTATTATATGTATAGATTACAATGCTACGGATTAAAAAAAGAATGCATATTACACGCTATTTTAATTTCTAAATCATTTATGCTTGTAGCATTTTTTAGACTAAATGTAAGATATGGAAAATGGCTACATAATCAGCTGACGTAGGGCGTGCGGGCGGGGGTGCGGGTGCGATGGAGAGGAGGGCGGCGGGGCGGGGGGTAGGTATATGATAACGAGCGTGGTGCGTTATTGCCGCCATCCATCATCGCCCGTCAACGC